CTAATAACCTTCCTTATTTCCTTTGTTACATATATTCAACTTTATTTTTTTTCTTTATTTTTAACAATTGTCTTCTTTTTTTTCTTTCTTTCCTGATTCAATATATATGGCTATATTTCATTATTTACTTTCTATGGCATCTGCTGTTTTTGAACATAGTATTCTTCTGTGGACAGACCGTGGGGAAAAATTCTCGTTTAATATTCTTGGAAAAAACTTGGGAGAATACGGTCGAAGATGTTCCTCTTCAACTACCCTTTATAGGCCAAGCTGTTCTCGTGGATTGGTTTTTTCTAGCTCTTGTGCAGAGAGAGGGCCCTGAATTTCCACTTTGTGCTTTCCATCTCGACCCCAATGTCACCTTTAGCCATCCCATTGAGAAATTAACTCCCCTGGTCCGCAATATAAGTGATGCACGCCAAGGGTATGTGGCCTACTTGGGTGACCAGTACGTATGTGTTGTGCGCTCTGGGTACGACGGTTGTTCTTATTCTTATACCCATTGCACCCGCCCTAACCATTATGTTACGATTGACATCTTCCTGGTTGAGCCGCCGCCGCGTGGTGAAAGATATTTCTTTGTTGCCAAGGATCGTTATTCCTTATCATACATGGTGGACGGAAATGTTGGGAGGAGGATCTGTTTTGCCACCCCCATGTAAGTGTCTCCACTTTGATTTCCATGCGCCACTCCACATGACTACATGAGAATAGATTATTTATTTATTTACATTGTTGACAATCATGGAAAATGTATTGCTATGGACTGTGGCCTAATGCAGCAATAGCATGTAATGCTACAAGTGGTTGATGAGATTAATTTTGATACCTATTCATTCATGAGTTTTGTACCTATCAGTTGTTTGTTTCAGAGAAACAGAGAGGGAGGCTATAGTCTTTTTGATTTTTCTTCACAGTTTTATATCTCTCTATTTTTTTGAAGTTGGAATATAACCAAGGCATTTTACTTGATCAACAGTGCAAGACTAAGAGAAGTCATATTAATTACAAATTACAATTTTCACTCTATGAGATCTATGTCAAAGAATTGCTAACATTTTAAATCCTCTATATCTAAATGAGAATTATCCTTAATTGCTTATTACATACCAGGGACTTGTTGGGGTAGTAACTATTAAGGCTTTGCAATAGTTTTTTCATTTTTATTTGACTAGTATCTAGAGCCCTTAATTTAGTGATTCACTCCGGGATTGGGAGGTTTCCATATGGTACAACATCAAAATAATAACTGCACCAAGCAATGTTTACTATTTGGTCGGGCAGGTTGCTTTTACGTATAATTCTTTTTTTTTTCGGTAATTGCATTCCTTTGCGAGGCCAGCACCAAAGGAATGCAATTACCGAAAAAAAAGAAGAAAAAAGAATTATATGTAAAAGCAACCTGCCCGACCAAAGTATGCTTTAAAAAGCATGCTTTTTTTGAGTTATTGTTGTTTTCAAAACAAGTACAGTTTTTCTACTACAGGTAGACCACTACATCTTGAGAAGTTTCCTAGTCTGTGAAGGAACTTCCTTGGCCTCATTTCTGTTTAAGGAGTATTATGCTGGCACACCAATGCTTTGATGCTAGCAGTTTCCGTAATTTCATCTTATTATTATTATTTTATAACTTGGATTATTTTTGCAGCTTTCGTCCATAATACCTACAAGGTTGAAGGTCCATGAAGATCTTCTGGTGGTAGTTTGTTGTTATAGCATTGATATATATGATATTTGGTTCATTTAGTAACAAGCGTAAAATAATTTTCCCTTAAAATAGAATGGTGATACAGATGCCATCTGTCATGGAGATTTTGCACATAATAGAATTCTAGTCAAAATTTTCAATGTATTTTTCAAAAAATATTTTACTTTTGTTAGGAGTTGCCATTTTGGGCATGGCCAATTGGTTGGGTCTTGATGAGCTTGTTAGAAAATAGCAGTTGGATTGTTTTGTATGAAAGTCGGTTTGGCTGGACAGTGTATATATTGAGGGGTTTTCAAAACATTTAGGCTTATTTTTTATTCTAATAAATGTAATTCGTTTTCATTTTTTGGAGTACTTATCATTTTTCGCTTTTTTATGGGCATTTCGGGCTTTTGTTATAAAGCTTGCAAGAGAGTGTGTGTATAATAAAACACTCCTGATGAACTGATGAACATGCAAGGGTGTGTAATAAAACACTCCTATGAACTACAAAAACAAAAACAATAAATTACAAAAACATGAAATGTAAAAATAACTTTGTTAAATGAATTTACACAAATGTGGTGTTAGTAAGGGTAGTATTTGTCATAAATCAGCATATTAAAGTGGGCTATGTAGGTGTTCTTTTCGTATTGATTATGGAGAAAATTGGCGCCCCCTGTCAGCAAAAACTAGCCATGCTGTGGCAGCTGCACCTACTATGCCTCCTACCTGATGTTTTCAATCAAAATTCATTCGAATAGATAAATACAAATAGAATCATTATCAGCCTTTTAAAAATGAGTATGAGTGTATCATTTTATAATATATAATATAGGTCAAAATGAGTGATTTATATTTAACTCATTTTTATAAAGGGTTAAATAAGTTGAATATGAGTCATTCATTTTGATCCATATTTCACCCCTCATAAGAGAGATTCAGTTTTACAACTTCTATTTGACTCAAATTCACCTCTTCCTTTCTAAAATTCTCTCACACGATTTCAAATTCTTTCACTATTTCTCTCTAAAATTCTCTCCGTATCATGGACTCCTCGTTTTATATCTGTATTTCAAAGTAGGACGATTTGATTTATTCATTTAATTATTTATTTTATAAAAAGTTTAATAGATGATTTCATATATATATATATATATATATAATACCTTACCTTCATGCATGTCTAGTCACAAAATAAAATAATATAAATTTAAAGAATTTTCAAAATAAATTAAAGGATTTACAATTATCCATACATATTTTTACGAGTTTTTATCCATCTAAAATTAAAAAAAAAAAAAAAAAAAAACTATAATAATTGTTATATATATATATATATATATGGTGTGGGGTCTACTATTTATGAAAATTTGAAAGAAATAGAATTAGTAGCGTGGCCCACTATTAAGAGAATTTGGTAGGCAGATTTGAATTATGTATATAGATTCATTGTATATATAATATTGTAGATATGAACACATTAAATACATATAAGCAAGTTGTTTTTTTAGCTTGCTTTGTAAGCTTAGCTTATGATTATAATTTTAAGCCGTTGTTGAGTGGTTGGAAATTAAGTCACATAAAGCAAAAGTGAGCGTGACAAAATTAAATCATAAATAGTGAAAATTTGAACCAAAACTCGTTAAGAAGCATTGTGTGACTTGGAAATTGTTAGAGGAAATAGTTTTGATTGGTTGGTTATGCATGCTTTCTCATATGCCTTTATATATTTTTATTTTATTTTATTTTAAAAGTTTAGTGGATATACACTCATGTTTATACGGAAACTCGAATACTCTAGAAAAATGAGAACTTTATACCTTCTAGTTGAGAACTTTATACCAATTAGGCTATTGCCCATTGGGTAACTTTCTTTTATGTTACATACCAACGTTGCATACATAAGCAATTCACTACTCAAAGTAAATATTTCAAATTAATCTTTCTTTTATGTTTGAAACTTAGTTGTGTTTAGTGAAATATTTTTCATAAGTGAATTACAGTATGAAAGTATAAAGTGCGACAATCCTTTCACACTCGTAACTTTTATTATTACGTCTTTCTTTCTTTCCTTGTAGGTATATATACATACATATATATATACATCTACGTATAGCTTAACCTTCATTATTATTATTATTTTTTTGTTCAATGTCTTTTATATATATATATATATATATTTATTTTCATTGATTCTTTATTGGGTTTTGATCATTTTAAGTTTTAATTGAAATAATGTGTAAACACTGAGAGAGAGATAAGGATGATTTGTAATCCATTCACAATATGGTTATATATACACACACACATATGTAAACAAAGAAAAAAAGAAATGGAAAGAAAGGAAATAATCAATTCACACATAGATTACATATATATATATATATATATATCTTTCTTCTTCTTCTTTTTTGAATTATTCACGGAATATAGGTAAGAGTGAGGAGAGGGAAAAAATAGTAACAGCTCGTTATATATATATATAAAGTTAAAAACAATTGAAAAAACAAAAGAAAGAATGAATTACATATGTATATAGACAGAGAGAGAAAAAAAAAAAAAAAAAAAAAAAGGAAAAATTTTAGGTTAATTCGGTCCTTTAAAATTTCATAAAAAAAGAAAAGATATGCTAATGATAATTTTTATAATTGATTTTTCAACCAATGAGATCAGACTGTGGAGCTTAGCATATATATATAAGACATTGAACAAAAGAGGAAAATAATGAAGATTAGCTTTATAATTAAACCTTTTATAATTAATTGAAAAATCTTTTATAATTAATTGATTTTTCAGTGTGACTGTCCTCGCTATGACATTAAGAGCTGCCGCTAGCACTCGGATGGTATTAAGAGTTGTAGTCTAATAGTATTTCTTATAGAGTAAAAGGCAGGGATTCAAATCTTCCTAGAAGCAACGTTTTTGCCATTGAAAATTTTATAGTATGACGGCTTTTATCAATATTCTACATTAATTAATTGTGAGCACCTTTGTCGGGGCCTCTTTCCAACTAAAAGTTGTTTTATGAAACAGTTTTCAAACCATGATCCATGCATCGGGGGAAAATGCTGTAAAGCCTAGTTCTAAATTTCTCTCCAACTTTCTCAGCAGCCAAACGTCATGAGACCGGAATTCTACACGTTCAAGATTAATCAAATTCTATTTCAAGTTGAACATTGCCCCATCAAGCACCTGCATCAAAAAAGGCTAACTGCAACATTATAGCTGCAAAACAGTTCTTAAATAGCCGATCTTCGGGTTATCCAGCCATTTAGGCCAGTGATTAGAAGTGAGATTAATTGTCACCAGATAATATGAACCTTCTATCTCATTCTTTTATTTCAAAATATCAAATAGCTACATAGTTCATCAAGTCACTTCAGTATCCACATAATAATGTGATAGAAACTATATATCAGTCCAGTTTTACGAGTCATTCCTCCCTCGGACATATTCAGGATGATGAACTGAACTGTAAATTAGATGGTTTCCTATTCCTATAACAACTAACTATGCAAACCAACTAACACTTCGACGCAACCTTCCACAAGCTGCCTATTCATCTTCAGTTCTAATAAATTTACTTCAATTCTTTGGCTGCGCTCAGCTTCTCTTTACAAATGACTAGGAGCTGCCAGCTGAACGTCTGACCCGGGTTTTTTTTACTTCAATTAATAGGAATGTCTTCTTGCTCCATGCTTTCTGTTCTTTGATAGAACAGAGAATTCCTTTTTTTGTTTTTTTAAACCTTTATTGAACATAAATTTTGAAGAACCTACCAGCACATGGACTGCACTCTTCGAAGAACTCGCCTTGGTCTTCGTTTCTCCACGACAGGAACCAGGTTCTCCATCAGCTGCATGCGAGTAAAACCAAAACAGGGAGTTAAATCTGTAACGATCTATCAATTTCATCAGTTTTGTTTCAGCGGAAAATGATATTAAAAAAATATGATCATAAACTTGGATACGGTTCATTTTGTAACGTTTGTCTAAGATGTGCAAAGCAAAAGAATAGATGCCTGTAGAAACAATAGCAAAAGAACAGACGCCTGTAGAAACAATAGATATATAAATTCTTCAACAGTATTGTAGTCTAAATATAGTGCAGTAAAAAAATATGCACCCTATCCGATAGCATAGACATAATCCATTTTCTGAATCTACTTTCCACCATAACAAAAGAGACTACATAATAAATTTTAAACATGATATTACTTGACAAGTCCTCTAATCATCTCCTGCTCCTAGGTATACGAAAAGAAAGAGAGAGGTTTATTGTCAAAGACATATAATTAAATAAGCAATAGAGAACATATGAAAATGAAGAGTAAGTTGGTCCAGAAACAGCATATATCATTGTCATTCCGTAAGATAGAATGTAGAACAAATTAGTATTGCTCCCTGATAGGAATCAAAGTTGCACGTTCAATGGCACTGTTTGAAATGTTACCGGATTTAGAGCAGAATAAACTGAACTACCACGTAGATTAGATATATACTAAAGTGTTCCTTTGATTTCATGTGATATTATGTCATATATGAAGAACACAAGGTTTTGCACCTCCTCAGGTAGTATGTAAACACAAAATAAGGAAAACCTGATTGTACTTTTGAGCCCAGTTATTAAAAGCAAATTAAAGTCCATATTAACCATAGTTTGCTGAAAACTTGAAGAATAAAGCAAAACCAGAGTTTTTGAAGTCATAGGCAAGAGTCGCATTTTAAGCAGGGAAAAACATTACATCCTCTGGAGGCACATCAGAACATCCATTGAAGAGAGAAAAAATCAATTGTGTTTTACATAAACCTTAAATAAGTTGATTTTTTTAAATGCACAAAAGCATTTAAACTGAGACAATCCCTCACACAATAAAGATTGTAACAGGATTATATTAAATGATGTTCCAATTTCAAGTTTCTTAATGTTAGTCCTTGAGATAATTAATTCTATAAATGCTGCATCTTAAGGCAGCAAAATACACAGAAATAATTGTTTTCTTTGAATTTTAGCAATTTTTGAAACCAAAACAAGTTGGAAGAGAACCCACCCGAGTTTGCTATACAAATTGACATGACTGCAGGGTAACATGTCTACCATATAAATCACTAAATTATTATTGCCAAGTCATATTTTATTTACTATAAGAATATTATTTGCTGTTCCAAGCCGGTCAATTTCATAACCAGCATTTGACTATTAGATATGGCCCCTCCTGGGAGATGGATAAACCATATCATGTCAGAGATTCCTTCATTAGCAAGCTGGTATTACACTCATTGCAACACTGTTGTATGTGTGCAGGACGACTTAGACCCGTAACAAACCAGGAAGAAGGAAATATGGTCTAGGACAAGGGGAGAGAGAGGCAGAGGCCAGCCCCAGCTAGTAAGGGTCATTTGCAAGCATACTTCAAAAATTCCCAAATAATTCAAATATTGCACTATTCAAAATCAATATTTATCCTGCAAGTATAAATCTGGAAAATCAGTAGCAAATCAATGAATTTCGCTGTCTGTCTGTTTAACCCCATTTTGTCAGAATTGTTGAAATGTAAGATACGCTATGAACGTTATTCAACTTAGATATAAAGGATGGATAGAAAAATATCAAGGCAAAGCAAAACTAGATATTTGATCATAATAAATGCATCCAGAGTGAGGACCCAGGGTCTTGGAAAAAAATAATAATATAAAAAAATAAGGTAGAGGTACTTTAAGGAGTTGCTGAATGAAAAATAAATAGGAAGCTTTGGCCTAAAAGAATATGGTAACATTAGGAAGATTAAAAGACACAAAATTAATATTAGTGTGTATGAAAGGTAAAAAATAGTGAAATGAATATAAGAAGTGTTTTAGGAACATATTACATTGCTAGTAAATCTGGAAGTATTTACGCAGGTCTACTTGGTTATCATCAATTTAATACCACGATGACAACTAAAAAAATGCCTGACGAGCCACAAAAAAATAAAATAATACCAATAATAAAAATGACTAATTTATCAAAATTGTATAAATTATTATGGTAATGGATGATTGATCACTACCTAAGAACTAATATCGTTGTTTGAAAAACAATTTGAATTTATTTTTGAGACAGAAGTTATTTACTCATCGAGGATACTAACAGAAGAATTAAAGAGAAGAAGAACCTCCATAAATTTGGAGAAAGCCCATGATAATGTCACTAGAGATGTTAAATAATGGATTTTCAAAGGAAAATAGACACAAATAGATATGCCAGAATAGTAAGGGATATACAAGATGGAGTTGTGACGGTAGTAAGAACAAATGAGGAAGAAACAAATGAATATCCAAAGGGTTATATCGGGCTCAGCATTAAGTCGCAAGTCTTATCCTTAATAAAAACACATTTTGGATAAGGTGCATGCAGATGACATTATTTTGATTGCTGAAACTAAAGCATGGTTAAATGCTAAATTAGAGGTCTGAAGAAAAACTCTACAAACAAGATGGTTTAAGTTGAGTAGGACTTTATAACTTCAAGAAAACTAAAAACTTGAAGTGGGGATATAGTGAAAATCGAAGACCGAAGTGATATCAGAAGGTGAATAGTTGTATTAAATAGACTGAGTATTCACAAAGAGGGAGAAACTGAATATGATATTATTCATAGAATTAAAGCAAGACAGTGGATATATGGAGGAATGAATATGGTACAGTAGGTGATCAACATATTCCTGGTAGAGGTAAAATTTACTACAGATGAGGTCAAAAAACCAATCATACTCCAAGGGACAAAATGTTAGTAAGCTAAGAAACATAATGTTCATAAAATGAGCCTGATTGAAAAGCATATGTTGACGTGGATATGTAAGACAAGAAACCAATGGATAGTCTTTCTTAATTGGATTTCAGGCCTCAAGAACTTCAGGGATGGGTCAGAGACCAAATAATATGGTCAAAGTCCCTTTACCAAAATTTGTGTCACCTGACCAACTAGAATCAGGCACGATCTCTAGAGATGCAATTGCATATTCATTGAAGGTATGCTGTCAAAACTGATTTTTATAATAACTTATCCAAAAAAAAAAAACTGATTTTTATAATAATAAGAATTGGCATTAATCATTGAAATTGTGGAAGTACTGCTAGTTCAATGGACTTTCTACATGAACCTATACTCATTACCTTTTCCACCCTTCCTTCTCCAGTTAAATACTGCATGGTTCTCCCCCACCTTCAGAATGGTTCACTTTAAAATTGTATATATATGCATGAGAATCAATTAGTATCTAAAACGCGCGTCTTTCATTCATGAAGGATAAGGGCATGAGAAACCAAATTTTCTTGGTTTACTCACGAAATCATCTAATTTCAACTAAGATATTACATATTCTATAGTCTTCCAAGAATTCTCTCATTATGTATTAAACTTTATGTACCATTCAGGAATACTACAGTTTTTTCAGTTTTCTCACTCAAACTCTCAAATATTTGGAACTTTATCAGTCTAATAATTTATGTGTCTTAGGATATCTGATAATTATTTACACTTTATAATGAAGAACATGATTCTTTAACCAAGGAATACACCCTTGTAGTGTCACCACAGGGCCTAGTATAAAAGTGGCAAAATACACATACTGTGCAAATCTGGTGTGAACGAAATCAAAATAATAGAAATTTCATCATTTATATTACATCAAATTCTTTTTTCAAACATTGCTATCAATGTAGAACACTTGCAGATGTAAGATCCACAAAATGGCAGTAAAAGAAATTGGCCATAACTTATCAACACAAACATTAATATGCATGCATAGACATGGACATTACACATTTGGGTGGGGGGCCGGGCGGGTTTGATATTCTTTGGCAATTGCTTTTTTTATTTATTTATAGAAAAGTCATAGTATGAAGAATGAAGCAGCAAAAGTTCAACCAAGTTAGCAATATACATATACCTGCTTAAACCTCTCCTTATTCTGCTCAGCCTGCATTTGGAACATTTCCTTTTCAGAAACTATGCACAGATGGCAATTAATTATAAATAAATAGAATTTATAATACATGAAACCATGACAGAACTGCAGGTTAGCAGTACAATGTCCTTGATACATACATCAATGAACACCAAATTGCAGAGAATGCAATGATTTAGTAAGAATATAAGGATCATAACATAAACCAAACAGTTCAAGAGCTTGATAAGCAAAAAAAAATGAAGGAAATAGACAAAAAAAATTAATTGTTGGATTACTGCTTCCATGCCCTAAATTATATACACTGTTTATGAATCGAGACATAGACAAGCATATAAACAGTCCTAGACCTTGTGTAGAGTTGATTAAAAAACAACCATTTTGTCAAGGGATTCATTGGAAATTCCATACAAATAAGTCTTTAAATTAAACTGTGAAAGCATACTAGTGTATCTCAGTTTCAAAAAACTATACAATACTAACATTAAGAACTCAATGACAGAAAAAAAAATTAAGAAACAGGTCACCCGTAAAAACCTTAAATTTAAGTGGAGATAAAAGCCACGACCAACAATTTTGATTGCCGCAACATTATAGATGAGTAGACAAAACGAATTTTGTAATTTGGATCAAGCATCCATCTGCAGTTGTGTGTTTTATGAATTGCCCTTCTACTGGTTTCAGAATGTTCCAAGGAGCCTTCTTAAAGTGCAAAGTGCATACACCCAGTATATGGGGCAAGTAGGAAGGGGAAGCCTGGAGACAAATCTAACCAAAGGAACTAATTTTGTGAAAAGCATGGTTTATTTTAATGCAATTGTCTGATTAGAACCCCAGCAAAAAAAAAAAAAAAATTAAATAAATAAAATAGCAATTTTTTTCTCATTACTAATTTTTCCTCATAGGATTCTACTTAAACAAATTGTTTTAAATCTGATCTAAATGTCCCTTCCCTTGCAGCAAAAGTTTAATAGCCAAGTAAGACATTCAACAAGTTAAGCTTCAATTTTGACCCCAAACAAACTTGCAATCACTATGATGCTCATAAATTTATTCTTTATGCTCTCCCCATGTAATCCAGTACCAACTACTACATATGTCCATTTTCCAGTAATGTTCTAGAATAACCATGAATTTATATGACAAAATAATAAAACCAAGCAACACAAATTATTATAAAAAAATAATAATAATAATAAATAAATAAATAAATAAAACAATACCTCTTCTCTCAAAAGACGTGCATTATCCTCCTCCAACTGGGTCACCAATGATTCTAATTCAACAGTGTAGGCCTGAAACTCAAAAAAGAGTACAACACGAATTCACCAGATTCAAAACCAATTAAATTATACATATATGTAAATGCAATTCGACTAAAAGAACTATAAAAATGATCAATTAAAACGCAATTGGAATAAAATCAACCTGCTTTCGTTCTCTCGACCTAGCAGCTGACTCTCTATTCTTAATCATTCTCCTCTGTTTCTGCTGTGTCGCCTTATCCACAGGCGGCTCCTCCACGGCCCTCCTCTTCCCTCTGCCACCTCCACCACCACCACCACCAGTAGACACAACCGCAACCATCCTCCCATCAATTCCGTTCCCAAATCCCACCGGATCGACACCAAAACCCCCGGGTCCGTTCCGCGACGATTGCATATGCGGCGGAACCTGAAACTGAGCAGCATTCATCATCGAATCCACACCGAACCCCGTCGGCGTCGGAATCACCGGAATTCTGACATCCTCCTCCCTCACAGCTCCGGCCTTCGTCAGAAAATCCTCCAGAGTCATCTCCGGCTCACGGTCGCCCTCTCCATTTCCGTGGACGATCTCCTTCCACACCTCATCCACCGTCTTGGTCCCCACACTCTTCGGCAAAGTAAAGCTCCCCTGCCTCGACAACGACACCTCTCCACCAGTACCACCACCGTCGGCGGCGGCGAATCCACCATCACCGGCCACGGCGTTGTCGGAAAATGCCTCCGGATCGTTGTACATGTTCTTCAGCAAATCGTCCATGTTCATGGACCCAAAGTTCTTGCTCTGATCAGTTTGGAGGTCAGCGACTGTGAGAGATAGTATTGAGGACTGGCGTGGCAGATCCGGATTGGGCTGTGATGTAGACGCCATCACCTTCGACGACGCCATACACCGAATTTCTAGGGCTTGTTCAGATTTTTCCCAAAAAAATTCAAAAAATCACACACAAAGTCTCTCTGAAATTTAGGATTTAGTTTAGGATCAAACCGAACAAACTGTTAACAACCCTTTGAGCCCGTACTGTGAGAACGCGAGTCTCCTGGACTGTTTCACATACACCTATAGATATGCTGTGTGTATGTGTGTGAGGGACTCAGAGGGAGAGAGGAGAACTTAGGAAGGAAGAAGGAAAGCAGTGTAGAGAGAGAGGGGGGTAGAGAGAGAGTTGTGGCTATTCGTTGATTATTTCTGCAATTACAAGTGTATTTGTGTCATTTTAACCATGTTAGGACAAGTGTCGCCAAAATTAAGCGAGTTTGTTTTTTTAACTTACACGCCGTGTGTTTGGCTCTAACATCTATTGGCTTGTTCAAAAGTGGTTTCACGTCTAAATTGATTCGCGCACCCATGCAAAGACAAGTGCTTTGCGTTTTGTACGTTTGCATGCCCACTCATTTCATTTTTGTGTTCCCAAAAAATTATTTTCCACACAAAATTCAAATTTAAATGATTGTTTTGGTGGAAGTGTAATTATTTGTTAAGGAACAAATTGTAATTATCGAATTACAATTATATGACATGATGCCAAGTGATAGAATATACTAATTTTCTCATATAAATTGAATTCGGTATTATTGAATGTCATTCTTAAAACACAATTTTTTTTTTGAAAAAATTTAATTTTATTGAGATGATACAACTAGACTGTGGCATTGGGGGTGAGTTGTTATGATAGGATCAACATTATCCATGTCTATTGCATCTCGATAATTGTAGCACGATTGTTATTTTTTTTAAAATTTGTTATGATGCAACATTCCGACCATGGGTGTGACTGTGTGGTGAGCTGTTGTCAACAATTGTAGCATGATTCTTGCTTCTTTTCAAATCTCAACATTACCATTTTTAAGTTTTGAAACTTTTGAACTTGACAAAAATATTAATAAATTTCATATAGCAACTTATAATATTGTTTAATAATTCAATTTAATATTTAATTATAAATAAATTAAGTGTTTATTAATAAAAGTGCATTTAGTAGTGAAATTTGAGTTGAGCACCACTTAAAATGAGAGATTTTAAATTATAATGGTACCACTTATCACTTAATGCTATATACTTAAAGTTAAAATTATATATAAAAAAAAAAAAAATCAATTTTTATCACTTAATTGAATTCAAAACTTTATCTTCAGCTCTAAAAATTTTCTATATTTAATTTTTAATTTTATCAAATAGTATTTTAGTAATTTAAAAGATGATAATGCAATAAATACATGCTCACTTGGGAAGTTGAAATCTGCAACGATTAAAATGATGTAATCTTTATTATTATAATTATTTTTGGTGCATTATGATAACCATTTTCCATAATTAATAAATCAGTAGAAATACAAATATTTAAACAATTAAAAATCTGACCGTTAATGGATTGTTGTATTGAAAAATATTGTCGGTCTTTTCTATATTATAAGTTAGCGTGTGAGTTTCTTGTTAATGAAAATAAAAAATACATATATATATATATATATATATATAAACCTACTTTTCTTGATTAAGATTGGTTAATTTAATTGAGATATGATATTAACACTTCATTTTACTAATACTTTAATGAATTTTTAATAAAATAAATAACAAAAGTATTTCTGAAAAGTGAAATATAAGATCCTATGATCATTATAAAATGCAGAATAATGTGTCTTTCTTTTGATTATTAAAAAAAGTTACATTTCTTTATTTTATTCAGGGTATAGTGCATTAAACCCCCCTGAACTATTGCAGTATGTGCAAGAAACTCCCCTGAACTATAAAAATTGCAAAGAAACCCCCTGAATTATTGGGGTATGTGTAAGAAACCCCCCTGAACTACAAATGTTGCAAAAAACCCCCCTGAACTATTGGGGTTTTTTTGCAACCTTTATAGTTCAGGGGGATTTTTTGCACATACCCCAATAGTTCCTGAACTATTGGGGTATGTGCAAAAAAACTCCATGAACTATATATTTTTTTGTAGTTTACCCATCCACGCGAATTGATTGACTGAAAGGGACGATGAAGCCGAGGAATTTGTTGCTGGGATCGGTGGGTCTCCTGTCATAGCTCCATCATAACTGTTGCACCACTAGCCAGATCCGTCGGTCATATATATCGCACTTCTCTGCACCGTTGCATCAGCCCATCGCCGTCACCGCCTTGCCCACCGTTCAGCTCACCTTGCTCGCCGGTCTATTCCACTGTCCATTCCAATCTCGCCGGCCCATTTCGCTATCTCCATAGCCGAGCACATCGCCGTCCGTGTTTCGAGCACACAGCCGTCCACAGTTCACCGCTGAGCCCCCTTGAGCTCGCCGCCGCCTCCACAGTTCACGGCCAAGTCAACCGAGCTCTCATCATAGCCGAGTCCTTCGCGCACAAGCCGCCATCATCCGAGACCGAGCCATCCCGCCGACCTCGGATTTCTTTGCTCTCTTCTCTCTCTCTCTCTCTCTAGTTCTCAGTTTTGGGTTGTATTGGGTGAAAGATATTTTTTGGTAGGAAAAAAAATAAGAAGTGTATAAGTTAAAATGACGCAGTGTACGTGTTATAAGGGTAAACTGGTCTTTCAAAATTTTTGGTACTGGAAGCTAATGTCATGGGGGTAAATTGCAACAAAATCATAGTTCAGGGGGTTTTTTGTAGTTCAGGAGGATTTTTAGCAAATGACCAATAGTTCAAGATACAAAATCATAGTTCAGAGAAATTTCTTGCAAATGATCAATAGTTCAGGGAGGTTTAATGTATTTTACCCTTTTATTCTTGCAAAGTTTATTAAAGAGGACTTTATTTAATATCATAATAACCATATAAATGGGTTGCATGAAAGTCATAAGTTGAGGAAGCATAATAATAAAAGGAGGGTGCCCCCAATCCAAAAACCAAATCTGTGGGCGATAGCTCCAGTTAGACTCGATCCGAACGCGCGTGAGAGCCACTCTCCATGCAAAGAGGCGAAGAGAGTAAACAGCACGAAACAAAAAAGCGCGTATTTTCGTAACATACCAGAAAAGGCTAAAAAAGATACATTGCCGCTTAAATGGGATTTTTCCTTTTCGGGGGTTGACTCTTTCTCTCTCTAGGTTTGCCGCCACTCGCTCTTTCTCTCTCTAGGTTTCTGCTCTCTTTGTCTCTCCGTGCCGTCCACAGCCAGCCGGTTGGAGAGGAGAGACAAATTACGTACACAATCAAAATATGAAGATGTGGAATCACTATTCATATTTTTACTGTTTTTACTGTTTCAAGAGATTCGTCGTGTCATTTGTGATACGAACATTCTTCCTCAAACGCGACAAAACAGTACTTCTCTGGAAGAAGCAATAAAAGTTTGGAAATAATAATTTAAATTACTTTAAGGTCTCGGTAACAGTATCTCACACTTTTTTTAACAAAAAATATATATATATATATATCTCACACTTTTGACCATCACATAATTTTTTTTACTATTATTATTATTATTATTACCATAATGTGGTATAAGAAGCAATAATAGTGCAAATACAGTCATTTAATTACTTGGTCTCAAACGTGTAATTACTAGCATTATTGACATTTAGTTTTTTTTATTACTGCATGGTGCGATGGTGGGAGAGGAAAGTGTAAGAGAGTCGGTGGTGGTTTATTGTTCTTCTTTTTGAAATGTTTATTGAGCCAAATTTGGATCTATTTTTCTGCGTAGGAGATATTTTATTATCGCAGAAATAGCAATTTCATTACTTGAAGGTCTCAAAGAAATAATTAGTTCCATTATCAGCTATTATCTCAACAGTTCAACTTTTGATCATGATATGGTGTTTGATAGAGAGAATTGACATTATCTCAACCGTTCAACTTATGACCATCAAATGGTCCGTGATGAAAATAGGGTAAGAGATTGGATGGTGATTTATTGATCTTCTGACTGAACGGTTTTGGTTGGAATGTATATTAAGCTGAATTTAGATCTCATCTCCCATGCGCACTGAAGTAAATGAAGTTATCTTAACCGTTCTAACTTTTGACCAGCATATATTTGTGTGATGGAGATAGAGCAACAGATTAGGTAGTGATTTATTGATCTTAATAGTTGTGGTTGAGATGTGTATTAAACTAAATTTGGATCCTTCTCCCCTGCAACAGAGTAAATGACATTATCTTAACCATTTAACTTTTTGACTATCATCATATGGTGTAAGAAACAATAATAATGCGGAAATAGTGATTTTATTACTTGAAAATCTCAAAGGAATAATTACTCGCGCTAATGGATGTTATCTCAATCATTCAACTTCGATTATCATATGTGTGTGATGGAGAGAAGGTTTTGCCCATCGTATGGTGTGTGATGGAGAGATGGTAGAGAATTTTTTATTTTTGAATGGCAAAGATGGTAAGAGATTGGGTGGTGATTTATTGATTTTTTGACTGAACGATTGTAATTAGAATGTATATTGAGCTGAATTGGATCAACGTCCAAGAGGCTGAGGAAATAGTGGACTTGTTAGAAGCTTCCAATGGAGTAGTTAACCTGAGAGGAGACAACGAGGTTGAATAGGGTGCTTTAAAGTCTAGTAGACTACAAGCCGAATAAGTTTATTTTATTTTATCTTGTTTAGAATTTTTGTAAGTCCAAAATATATTATCTTTTATAAGTACGAAAAGACTCCATTGCCCTTCTTGTAGTCTTAGAACTTGATCGTGCTGTTCGAGGATAGTTTCCCATTTATCAGATTACGTAGGACTTCTCTAGAGAAATGAAATATTAATCTGAAGATTTTGAAAAATTTCTGATATCTCACTGTACTTCTCTTACAACTATCTATACCAAATGTTGTTCGAGATTTCAGTTCCACACGCAAAAATATGTAACCCGATTCGGTACTTACTATATCATCCAAATATCATATTTACAGTCCCAAATTACAAGATTAATATCAAGTGGATAAATCCTACAGCGCAGCCATGACGTCTGAGCGGAGAGATGCCACATCAGTGTTGAGGGAGGCCACATTTGACCGAAGAGAGATAACTGCGTCCTCCAAGGTCTGTGTCAATTATATGGGAACGGATGGATTAAAGGCGCTCGCATGCGCTACCACGCGCACGGCCTAACCTCCTTGGTGACATGGCTCGTGGGGTTCGGTCGGTTGGTGGAGAGGATCGGCCGACAGAAACAATGACTCTCACCAATTGTATAGATTCATGTCAGTTTTAACATATTTCTTCTTTTTGGGGGTGTTACGTGAAAAATACCTACTGTCTCTACTTTAAAATCTTCATTCTAAATGCTTAGCAATGTGAAAGGAGGAGTTGGCTTCTCAAATAGATCTTTAACTCGTCGTACCAGGCACTCCGCTACTGTCAGACTGACGACTAACAAATCCTCATGAGGAATTTGAATACGTAACGAGTTGCTTCTGTCAAATGGAGTGCTTTTTGGATGGAAACTACGCATTTAGAAGTGCCAAGAGCCTTCCTATCAAGTAATTCTCAATCTATACAAAATACCATCCATGTGTGTAGTGATCTGATATATGTATAATAAATCCATCCTGAAGCCATAGTACGGTATAAATGACATTATCTTAACCGTTTACCTTTTAACTATCAAATGGTGTGTAAGAAGAGTGGGCGGAAATAGTTGAGTCACCCTCCTCAGGGATTTAAGTTCTATAATGGGTATTTATAAGCATTTGAGTTTTTACCTAACAAAATTAAATTAAAATAATTGGGGTCTTAACGTGGGAGAGGGATCATATTTTTGTAATTGATATATTGTTTAAATATAAGTTATTTATTTTATATGGAACAGTACTGTCATTTTCCGTTCAGAATATTGGCCACTCCACTGCAATGATTATTCCAATTTTCTATTAAAGAAAATTATATGCAAAAATAGGTATGTGTGACTCACTGTGTGCGCTCATGCATACGACCCCAATCATTGCCATAGTGAAAACATTTGAGCGTCACTTTTCTCATTCATAAAGTTCACATTTTCATAATGCTATAATTGGCGACTCAGCATCAATATTTTGTTCTAAATAAAATATAGAAATTTAGTACAAATAATTCGGTACTTTCACATATAACATGAATATCTTGAACAACTCAATTCATTTAAACATTATAAATTACGATTTAATCACTAATTTCAACATTATTTGGAAAATTCTCACAAAACTTGTGACAAGTTGATAATTTATTTTTATTTTTACTTTTTCTCGGTAATTGACGAGTTTATACGCTTTGCTAAGCCTTATAATCTTATTTCCACTTATCAAATAGCTAAGTGATCTCAAATGTAGCTGCCATCACCAAAAAGTAAATTATTTTTTGTTAGGTAAAAATAATAATTTACATGTGACAAAAAATAATTTAACTCAATAATAAACGTTATGAAGCAGAGGCCAATAGGGTGATAATTAAATCAAGCTCTAATGCTGTAATGGACTATAAACTGATGGCACCGGATAGGATAGTATTCACATAGTCGGACTTTAGTCCTCGTCAAAGCCCCCATCAAGCCCTTCTCCATCGCCATCTCCAAAGTCATCCTCTGCTGGCCCTTGTTCCGCATCACCGGCATTACCAAACACAGGCGCATCCATTTCCATTCTATCAGGAGGAGCTTCGGTGCCCTCTGTCATGCCCCCCCGTTGCTTCACCTCCATGGATTTAATGTTCTTCTCGCTGAAAAATTCCGCGTATGGCTTGGAAACCTGAAGGAAGAAACTTTGTTTATAAATGCATACTTAAATACAGCAAATTCAAGATCCAGCTCGGGATATTTAAAGATTCAGGACTGCTAAGGAGAATATCGATTGCACATGGTGGGATAACATAATGCAAATGGGGTACAAAAAGAAAGTGTATTTTGTAATCAAAGATTGGAGATTTATGAATGATTGATGAAAATTGGCAAAACATTGAATTCAGAGAAATAGTTCTCGTCACTAATGGGGAATCCAAGTAAAATGATTCACAATTCCATTGCATAGGAAGATATGGCATGTCAAATAACTTCAATGGTGAAAGAGAGAATCCACCTTGAAAAGACAATTTCTATGCTCTGCGCTCTCCACTAGGTTTTGCCAATGCTTATCTTTCTTCAGAGCCGATGCCGAACCCACCACCTAGTGCGGGGACAAAATTTGTGAGTTTCAAGAACCTCAGTTGTAATATAATCTTAATCTGGATAAAACCATACCAGTACAGAAGACCTTGCTCTGGTTATCCCAACATTCATTCGCCGAAAGTCAGCCACAAACCCAATGCCTCTATCTTTGCTCGCCCTAACACATGAAAAGATTGCAACATCTTTTTCTCTTCCCTGTAAGAAAGAACACACGTTTTGTTTTATCCTGAAGGCAAAGGCATTACCCACTATATGTCCTGTCTACATGCAAGCTGAATGGGGAAGACAGAAAAGAGACCCAACATTTGGCTGCTCTCAAAACTCGATTTTGTGTCCTCAATCATCTTGGTACAAGTTTTTTATTATTGCACCAAGCAGTGACTCTCCTTATGTTAGGTCTGTCTATTAATCTAACCGATCAGGAGAGAAAAATAAAGAAAAGAAAAGAAAAGAGAAAAAGGAACACATATATCTGTCCGAAAGCAAAATGTAAAGACAATCTAATGAAAGATGCACCACCAGTTGATGATTGAGAAAGATCCTTATCAATAAAATCATGCATCTCATCTAAATAGAATACAAATTGAGTTAATCTCGTAGAAAAGCCAGTGTAGATGTATGCGAGCAGTTTTGACAAGAGGAAAAGGAGCTACTATACCTGGAACCCATCAACAGTGTTAATATCCACTATTTTTTCCGACTCCACCTTGAAAGTATTTAGAAAGCGCTCACGGAAGAGCTTGACTTGATGTCTATATGGAGATATAATTGCAAGTCGAGAACTTGACTTGAGCTCTGGATGCATAGTCACCAATTTATGATACATGAGTAGAACAAAATCAACCTCATCCTCATTTACCCAAGAGCCACTTCCCGAGGGCTGGGACTCCTTCCCTTCATGTATGTCAAAGAAACAAAAAGGTCCAAAGCAGCGGTATCTATGCCAAGCACGCTTTGTCTGGACTTCAACATCAGGCCCATCCTCCAGCGCCTCCGCATAGAATTCCCTTGAAGGAAAGCTTCTTATCTGTATGGATAAAGGGTTAGAATCGCTAAATACAGAGTCTAGTAATAACACAGAATATAAAACCAATATTCTGACTAAATGTAATCAGGTAAATAACAGTGTCCACAACAATTTGTACAAAAACTTCAACAGACCTCTGGATGCATGCGATATTGGGTCTTCAGCATCATTACTGGGTAGCCAGCCATCTGGAATCTCTTGAACAAGCTCATGCCATATCTATAACATAGGCCCCCAGTACAGGTTTAATGGTATTAGAAGTCTAATCTACAGGGAGATAAAAATGTGTCTATCACAAAATAAAGTTCTTACCCGAACTTCTCAGCTACTGGAGAAATTACAGTGGCTGGCAATTGAACTGGATCACCAACCTAGAAACAATAAGTGGAAAAAAGAAGCCATTATTAAGGATAAGAATGAATGTATCCCAAGTGGCATTAGAAATCAAAATGATGACTGGATATAAATTTAAATTCCAGATTATAGAAGAGGGAAAAGAAATTCTACCATAAGGGAGGGTACGCAATCATGATAGAGTTATATCCGCATAAACAAAGATACAAATAATATTTCAAGACAAAAATATTTAATATTATTTCAAGTAAGTATCCATAAATTGGCATGCTTTTGGATGCATCATCACTGACCAAATTGAGACCTACTTCACTCACATTAGCTATATTGACATGGTTCAAAATTGGATTAGAAAAAATGCTGAAACTTCAAGGTGTTTAAAAATAGTCTGCACACCAGCATTTCCACATTCATAGCTTACAAGCATAAGAATTTAAACCTGGACAATATTAGCGTATTCAACCAAAACTCAAAGGCCTAAAGAAAATCTCAACAAATTAAAAATGAGACAATCAAGTTCACAAAAACATTCTCTGGTACATAATTCAAAAGAAACTACGAGTACATGAGCATTTAAATAGAAATTAACTTGCATAGATCCAATCAACAAGTTTCATATAGAGTCCACACTCTGTTTCTTCTTCTTTTTTCTACAAAAAAATGTCTTTCAGACCAGATTACTGCAAGAGCTATTTTCTTCTTTTACAGCCACTTGAGGCAACTGTTGGACAATATCATCTAAATTTTGAATTTCAACGAAGCAACATAACAAATACTCTTAAATAAATAAAATCAGTCATTAATGCAATATTTTTGTGATAGTTTTGCCTATTTATCATCACTGGAGTTTGATACAAGATCGAGATACCATTTGGTTTTGGAAAGCCATAAAATATAAAATACAGAATGGAAGAATGAAGTCCATGGAGTTGTGTGGAAACTCCATACAGGAAACTAACATCAAGTGTATACCAGAAACACTTGCTTGCATCCACTGGCCAATGGGACGAGTGTTGCCGGCTCCACCTGTTAAAAACAAAATTTCAAATGTTATAATGATATGCAGGATGCTATTTCATAGTAGCAAAGAAATAAATTACAGCAGCTTTCACGAAGATAATTGATGCTATAAGCACATGCTTATCTATCATCTTTGAATCTGCAAAGAAAAAGATAAAAATCCATATCTATCTAAAGTTCATTTCTTTTGTGTGGCTGAATCAAGAATAAGAGGGAAACAGTAAATTTGACCAAACCAACCACACACTTTTTACAAACAAAGCCAGGTGACTGAATATGCAGGTGTTTTGTGCTTGAAGTATTGGCACCTGCTCCTGAAAAACGTCCATTAAAAGTCTTGATCTATGTCCACCACGCTTTGCTAAAACATTCCCGACCACATACAACAAAATTCCAGTTCACGTGGTAGTAAGCCTTTTTTATATCTAGCTTACATATCACCCTTGAATTCAACTTCTCGACCAAGAGTCCAGACACTCATATGCCACCAGCTGTTCAGCACTGCATCCAAAAATTTTACCTTTCACTCACCAAAGCATTTCACGAACTGACACCACTTTATCCACCACCTTCTTCAATCTCAAATCTAAAGCTTTTGTCTCAAGACACTTCCCACTAGATTGATACACCAAATATAAAATACCTCCCTTTCTTCGGAAATAATTCAGTAAGGGATGCATTAAGACTACTCTGAAGCATCCCTGCCTGTTAAAAGGCGAACATTGCGCCCATAAAAACACTGGTCTACACCACTTCACTTCTAGAGAGAGAGCCACTGTCATCCCATCTCAGCTTGGGCCTTATTCCCATAAGAAAGCACAAAAAATTCACTACCCCTTCCACTGTATAAAGATGTTCAGACAACCTTATTAACGTATCTTAGGCCGTTAGTTTTGGTTCTCTGCTTGGATTGTTAGGGATTATCTCTGATGGATATTTTCCTTGGTTGCCTGTTGGGCTTGTCTTGGTTTGTTCCATTTGTTTTGGCCTAAGGCCCATATTGTACATACTTTTTATCTATGACAGTTGCTTTATATTTCGGAAAAAAAATAAATAAAAAAAAATAAATAAATAAAAAAAAAAAAGAAGATGGTCCAACCATAGCCTATCCTTCCCATTAATAATGCTGAACTCCAATCCATCCCGTTTAGCCTGCTAGTGACCGTATTTGGTGTACTGACCATCATAGAACTCTAAAAATCCCCTTCATAATCCCATCAATCAAAATCTTCCAAATATGATTCGGTCTCCTCTGAGCATTAGCCACCTTGTGGAAAGATCTGTAGTTATTACCCCTTCCTGAACCACTACTCTAGGCTTCTATCTTAATCTAATCTTTTCCATCGTAGCAAGGTCCCTGAATTCTTAATTTTTATTCTCCTTCTCTCTGCTCTTGCCTTTATCCAAGCCCCTCTGTGCTTCCTTTTGATCTAGATCCTTGATTATCCCCAAAATCCTAGTAATTGTTACCATTTCCAAGCTCCTTTATTTCACCTCTTCAAATCTTCCTGCAAATGTTCTATAACTTTCTAGCCACAACAAACATGGGTAGCTGTCCCACCAATTCTTAATTCTACCAAATGCAATCACATTGAACTTGAATAGAATTTTGTTCATGCACAAACAATCACGACCCAATAGAATAGGAACAATGATCCAAAATGGCCAGGGCAAAGTACAACGAGTAACATCCCGAAACCCTTCTACCCTATCATTGGAAATTGAGAATCTATACAACCATGACATCCAACATAGTTCATGACTGATGGACAATATGTAAAGTTTTCCTTCCAATTATCCAGTGGAAGATCCATCAGCTCATTGAAGTCCATAATCACCAAGATGTTCCTCATCACCAGAATTGATATCATGCATCCATTTCTCTAGACAAGGCATTCGGACAATGTTAACCCCCCCCCCCCAACACACAACACAACAAGAGAAGCTTGCACACATACGCATTTGTGCACGTGTACTGCACACAAAAGAGGTCTACATCTTATCTTTTATGCGAGCCGACCTAGGCCAAATAAATAGTGGCAAAATTTTAACGGTAGAACATAGGTAAATCAAAGCCTATGGTTCTAGCAAAAACTTCATAGATTCTAGAATGATAACAACATTCAACTATGTATATATTTCTGTGTGTGTGTGTGTGTCAGCAAATAAACCTGTAATGTGTTTGCAAATTATTCTTAGTAACTGAAGCCATAATCTTCGCGGCATCAACAATGGCATAAACAAGTAATAAGAGAAAATTGCTATAACAGGAGAAAGCAAAGGAACCTACAGCTTGAGCAGCTTCGTCTATTATAACAACATCAAAACCACGTTTTACTTTATTGAAGAGAGTTGAACCACTGAAACTAAGGGTCGAGAACACCTGCAAATAATATAGATATAAAAAAATGAGAGTAAAATAATGTCATTTTTAAATTTCAACACAACGAAAAGATTGCTTACAATCACTGCCTCATCCAAAATTGAAGCACGGATAATGTCTCTATTCCTTCCTGCACCGCCATGCTTCTCTTTATCAGCAGTCTGAAAGTCCATGCCTGCAAGTTTTTGTTCTGCCTATAAAGGGAAACGATCCTTGTCAATGTTTTTGGTCATAACTCGATGAAATCAATGATGATGACGACAAGGATGAAGAAGATGGTGACAATAAAATATAGCATACAAGGTAATCCATGGAGACCCCCTGTACGGAATGATGCGGCTTAAGACCAATCCGCACAATTTTAGGATTGTATGCACGATTATTTTCATCACGAATACCTGAGAATAACCAGAAAGAAACTGAGTATCCACAAACAATTTCTTGGCATAAAGGTACTCCTTATTGTGCAGAGAGTCCATTTTTATTTCTCGATGTGTTGAAGTTCTTCAAAATGCCAACATATAATGATGCGACATGTATTACTAAATCAAGCATGTCAACATAAAAGGAAAATGGAAATTTGAAACCAAAACAAAGATCACCAAAGTCTATTGTGTTGATCAAGAACCTCAACACGATTCAAGTGGGCCAAAACTCGAGAACTTGGAAAACAAGGAAAAATTATACAAAATTTGTAATCTTCTTCTTTTAGCTGATAAACCGTAAACATAACTCCTCAGATCTGAGAAGAGAAGTACAAGAAAACACGGTAATAATAGGATTTCTACCCAAAGCTTGCACTAATAGCATCACACTTAGTAGGACAAATATGAACACACCTCAAATAACGTGACGACAAATGATTTTTCCAGTTTAAGCAAAGTTAATGCAAAGTAAAAAATCTGAAAAGCAATACTTTTGGTGTTTTGGTTCTAAATTCGTCAAGCTTAAATACGACCACACAAATATCAACTTTGTCATTCTTTATAATTCTAGCCTACTTAAAAAAATTACAACAAACTCAAATACAATGCTTCATCAAGTGAGCATGACCTACAACTTTCTGATGGGATTGCAAGACCGACAAACGCTACAAATCACCATAATACAACTGATATCATGAAGGCCCAATATCTTGGATGCAATGTCCTCTGAAATACAAGAAGCCAACCGAGTCTTCTTTTATTAAATGGCCACAAATTTCATGGATTTGAAGAAATCAAGCCAACAGTTTTTCACTATACCGTTAATCACGTCAATGGGCATTCCTAAAGAAGCATCATTTACTAGCTGAAATAATTTGAATGATAGTTATCAAAGGCACATGGCCCACTAAAGCTCCAAGGTATACTGCTCTGTCTCCTCTGAGTATTACGCTTCCTCATCTATAATTTATACTGAAGATGATGAAGTAGCCATCACCCTTCTACTGCCCCTCTAAAATTGATCTTACTCCAGAATGGTGGCTATCTTCTCCAACTCTAGTAGCTCTAGCAACAACAAGACATGTCAAAGAATCATCATCAAACACAAATTTGTCTTTTGAATCTTAATCTCCATGCATTCTCCAAATCAAACACTCATTTCTCTCATCATCTTGAAGGGAGATGGGATTAATAGTGTCACACATTTCATGTCAACACCTTAGTGCCCTATTATACTTCCAAATCATTCAAATGTGATTCAGCAACCTATTTCTCTTCTTGCTATAAAACTGAAACTATTAAAATATAACTAATAAGCATAAATTCTGAAGTTCCAAAATTTAAGAATGTATCCATAATCCAATCACTTAATGTTTAACAAACTCCAAATTGGTTTGCAACCAAACACATGTGAGGCTAAAAATTTTGTAAATTTGGAGTTGAAGAACCCTATGAAACCCACTAATCAACTATTAAATTTAACAGTTGGAACACAATACGTAGATGTAGTGATAATATAAACTAGAAACTGCTCAACTAATTAGTTTACCTGGTGCCCTCGTACATCCCTTTCGTCATAGCCATTGCCATCCCAAAGAGACCCATAACTTTCTTATATATTGTCAACTCATTAAATATTTTATCCAACACATCAATGCTTGGAACCAAGCTTTCTATGGATCTTCGTAAACCCACCATAATCTCTCAATATTTGGGATTTTATAAAAGAATTTCGGGTTCAAAATTTACACGGTTGTATATACATGGTGGATTTGAAATACTCCACCCAAGATTTCTTTATACTTCTCTTCATCCCCCAAAAGCATTGGCAATTGCTCTTTCAGCCAAAACATATCTATCCCATTGGAGGCTTCTTTTCCAAAACCTAAGTGTGTTTAATAACAAAATTTTAAAAAGAACTAAGGAAAGATTAAAACTTTAAGTAAATGGAATTATACTTGTTAATTATCACCAAATGCAGTCAGCATGATTTTGACAAACTAAAAAATATACCCTCAAGCTAAATTCATAACTAATCAGAGCCCTAAAAGTAAATCCCCCTTCCCCTCCCAGGCTCAAGCCATTGTGAATCTTCCAGCCCAATCATCATCAATGAAGGCACATGCACATCCATCACCTAAGGTACAAATGCTCTCTTAAATCTTTTTGTTTGGACTTAGTGTCGTAGGTTGGCATCTTTCATGAAAAAGGTCAGAGTCAGTACTTCTTACTTTATTTTGAGTCATTTAGATAGAATTGGTTACCTCTTAATCCATTGGAGATGACTCATGAAGATGATCAACAATGATGAAGATGTCAATGGTAAAAAGATAATTTGAATAACTTTGTTGATCATTCACAATTAAGTTTTATAATTGAATATTGAGTGAGGGTACAATTTTGCAGGATTTGGGTTGATTGCATTAAAATTCATCTGTGTTCCTATGCAAGTTCTTCAAATATTTTTAACCTAATTTACTTGTTTGTGCATGAAAATTAGTTTTGTTGCATTAGAAGGACAAAACAGCATTTTGGCCAGCAGTCAAGGAATTAATCTCCATCCCTGGCTGCTAAAACCCAGCATCCTTATTCGTTTTAACTTCTAAAGCTTTCCAACAACCTATTTCTTGAGGACTACTCTTCCTAAAATTTACATATGTACAAAGTATGGTTTTATAAATATAAAAGACATTGATGCATATTGTTACATTAGAGATTTTTCATACATCATTATTTTTGTTTATAACAGACACTTTGAGAGTTCATCTAGATGTGAGTGTGATTCATTGTTAATCCCCATTCTGACTTGTACGCTTTATGTTGATTAAGGGTGGTTTGATGGTGAGGACAGATGTGGTGTTTGTCTGAGTTTGGGTGCGGATAGAATTTGTTGTTGCAGGTCCTTCTCTGATGGTATTTCCTAATGTTCAACAGTGAACAAGGGGTTGTAGAGACTTTCACTTGTAGACGTGTAAGGTAGTACGTTGGTGTTATGGTTGTGCTTTGATTCAGAAATGTAATAAGGAAAAAGAAAAGAAAGGAAAATAAATGGACAGAAGACAATCAGATCCATTTTGATGTTTTTCTTCAACTCACTGCCCTTCATCGTATAAAATATTGTGTATGATATGTTTGTGCGTGTTATATATATTCATGAAATAATGTTATTACAAGGTCTTAGGTGTAAAACTGCAAAGTAGTCAATCTTCATACTTAAATTTTTTTAGACTAATTAAACAGTTCAATGAATTCAGCATTCAAAATTCAGACAGCATCAAATAGGACTACAGATTTATAAATTCAATACTTAAAGTTTATCAAACTGCCACTGTAATGGTGCAATGAGGTTGAAGGTGAACAACTGGAGCACAACACAACTGATGTTTCCATATGTTCTGGTTCCGCTAGTTTGTATATATTTAATTTCAAATCTTCTTTGATGCAGTAAATGAGGTATTGTTTCTGATTTACTTCTAATATATTTAATTTCGAAACTTCTTTGAGGCAGTAAATGAGCTATTGTTGCTGATTTACTTCTGTAATGTACAGACAATACAAACTCAATCTAAAAACAACTGTAACTAGGCATAAATTTTTTCCACCTTATATTTTCATATTAATACCAACGTGATTTAGCACCCATCTTTTAGGCCTGCCAGGTAGAAGTTGCTGTAGAAGCCTGTTGCTCGAGTTTGCATTGATCATTATTATGAGCCATGACTTTCAGCCTCATGTGATTGCTCTCGAATAAGTTGGTAATTATTTTCTTGACAGAAATTAAGCCTAAAATGCTTCACATTTACATTAATTAATTGACAAGGGTTCCCTTCTACAACCAAGACTCCCAATCCCAACATTTTTCCGCCTTTTCTTTTACTTTAAAAACAATGTTAATACTATTGTTAGAATATAATTCTGACTGAAAGGAAGAGAGAGAGCTGTGCAATCACAAATAAGGTGATCTTTTTTTCCCTTCCTTTTCTCTCTAACAGTCTGAAAACTTTGACCTAGTGCTTGGGCGTTAAGAACCAAAGCCACTAGGACAAAGGTAAACCAGTAAAATATGGTTATCTTCATAAAAACCAAAATGCATCACGTCACATGGTTTCGACCAAAAGCAAGAACAATTAAGGGAAAGCATGATTTATGCACAGGACAGAAACTGACCAGTGTTTAGAACACGCAACACAATCTCATCAAGTGCAGAGTTTGATGGAGCGCATACCAGAACCCGGACACGATATTTGCGACTGGAATTAACCACTTCTGGTTTCTACACATTAGTTTGAAGTTAGAAGACATTGATCTCCAAGATCCACTATATGGGGGAAAAAATTGAAACATACCAACTCATTGCCAGTGGTTGGGAAAAAGCCATCATCCCCATTTTCAGGCATTTTTGCATCTCTGGGATTTATAGCAGTTAGCCATGGAGATGCTTTTTCCCAGTGACTGAATCTGCAAAAAAATAAATAAATAAATAAAATAAAATTTGTCAGACAATGTAAATTACCATACAGAACAATGCACACTTCCACCACCACAAAAGTGGACAAAATGCAGAATTTTAAGAAAGGAGAAAAAATAGATCATTTGTATCCCTTTTCCTTTTGAAATACAAATATGGGAACATTGAAGTATTTGTTTGATTGAAAGAGTCGTTTGTCTAATACCTAGTCCTTCTAGGAATGGCAACAAGGAAGAAGTAAAATATCCCCATCCTTCCCCGCCACCCTTCAACCCCACATTTCCCTTCCCTGTGCCATAGCTAAGGTGGTTCTTTGTATCTCTCCCGTCCCTGCATCAGAACATTCCTCTAACCTCATCCCATCCTGACTTACTCAGTTTATCAGATCACAATTGTTTTTTTTTTTTTTTTTGTGCGCGTCTGTGTTCCTGACAAAAAAAGTGCTTGGAAAAGCAAACCCTGAATTTTGATAGGAATTGATGGATTCAGATTAGCTAACAATGAAAGAAAGATAAAAAAGAAAAAAAAGATAAGAAGATCCTATCTTTTTGAGGTCGATCAAGGCAACTCTAAATGTGACGATGACTGTGACGCCAATCATAAGGTGATAAATGCGCATGCACGCGTGTGTATTGAGAGAGAGGCAAACCGATCATATAAAAGGAAAATGATCAAGAAAGGTCAGTCCAGAAAAAAATTCTAACAACATCACATATGGAATGGTTAAGGGTATTTTATCCAATTCCCTATACAATTGGGGTATGGCCTAACAAACCAAATCCTTCCCCTGAACTAATGTCACGTATGACTCTTCCTCCTTAAACTTGCATCTACGACATTCAAGCCTCCCAATACTATTGCATCAAGGCCAGTTTGCACATGTTAGTTTTCTGGATTAATTTCCATCCCTAATCCCCATTTACCAAAGATCAATAACTAATTATTATATTTACCGAAAAATTAATAACGAGTTGTAGTACTACTGGCAAAAATTTAGCATCATATGTCAAGAAACAACTAGGAAGGCTAGATTCACGGTAAAGGTACGGTACAAATCTAGAAACATAAGCTTCCTGAGTTGTGTGATTACTCTTCTTGAAGTTGGGGGATAGAGTCCATTAAGTCTTTTGCTAAGATTACCAAACAATGATAACAAATATGAAAACTCATTACGACAGAATTAAACCAACAACATTGACTTCTTGTTGTCCTGATAAAAGTCGGGCTTCAATAATGAAGGAATTCAAATGGAGAAACCACATCATTATCATTGAGTATCATGTCATCGGGAGGAAATTAAAAGTAGAAAGCCTTATTTGTACTATTCTCATTAAAGAAAAGATAACTGAAAGAGAGCCGTGTGGCATAGGAAAACAGAGGATTACAAATGAAAATATGGAGTGTCCAATGATCAGAGAGAGATTAATTAAATTGGAGGCTAAAGATCAGAAGTATGTGACAGTTTTAGAATTTTAAATTTTGTACATACAAAATGAATATATGAAAAAATTGAAGGGGCAGTTTTAGAAATTTAAAATTCTATACAAAAAGAAAATATAAAAAAATTGAGGGGGCATTTGCTCCCCTAGGTTCCATGTAGCGCCGTCATTAGAGAGCAATAAAACGAGAGGGTTTATATGTTGGGATTTTTTCATAATTTCGGTGGTCTTAAGAGAGACGTAGAAATTGACGGCTTGAAGCTATATTTTTGAAATACAATATTGTCTCTTTCACTAATACATATCATAGCAAAATAACCAACTAAAAGATATATCAAAAGAAAGGGAAAAATCCTAAACTCATTCATCATTCAAGTCAAAATGAAGAATCGGATTGCCTAAATTAATTCCTAAAGTAATTGATAGCCTGAAGCAAACTAAAAGAGTCATTGCAGAGTCGAAATGATGAGAAAATATTGATACTATTGTTTTATTCAGGATATTTAAGTGGATCTCAGTCTTAGTTTCAAATATGACTCGGGCCTCAAGCCCAAACTCATCAAAAAGACATACAAGATAATAATTATAGGGTTGTAGAGAAGAATTGAGAATTAACTTGTAATCCCTCAATTCCTGAGATCTTATGGGAATTCAACCCTTGCAAAATTTTGTGGGATCCAAATCAAATAGTATCTTGGATGGATGAAGTGTTCATATGATCCATATCAAGATTTAACAACCATGATGGATACAGATTCTATGCACTGGCTTGGAAGAGAGAGGAAAGAGTAAAAGAAAATTAAATAAATAAATAAGCACAATCGAAGATAGAAAAATGAATTAGCAACCAACACATACTTGTCCTGAATGGGTAATTCAGGCCCACGTTTTACACCACATGATTTGCCCCTGCAAGAGGAAGCCGTATTAATATGTTAACAAAGTGAATGCACAATATCTCCTTCATTATTTGATTCTTCGCCCTACGAAGGCCCCAGACACTGTCAACCATTGAATACTATGAAATTCAGGGAATCACGACCAAATCACAAAAATAAAACTTTCAATAAGTACTTACTTGGAATGTATTCGTGCTGGAGTTGCATGCAAAATGGCGCTAAGGAGCCCAAGGATAGTTTGTGTTTTTCCTGTTCCTGGGGGCCCCTAAAATGAAGCATGCTGTTAAATTCCACATAACCAAGTAAATATCCCAAATTATTGTCTCATACGGCTACTTAAAACCACTCCTTCCCAGTAAGCCATATATTAATATAAAAACTGTTCCAGATTTTACTTAGTTTATCTACAAATTCTACAATCACCCAGTTATGTCAAGTATGAAAGAAATAAGGAGCATAAGCAATAATATGTAGACTTAAGACTTGTGATTTGATATCCATGTTAAGTCATAAGAAATGACAATAACTTCGAGATTCCATCTGAGAAAGTGATCCTTCCACTTGGGGGCAAAAAATTTAACTTCTTGTGGCAAAGATCACCAATGTGCTGCTTTCAGGTTAATTGCTAGAGGTAACAGAGTGTTCCAAGGGTCAGGCTGGGATGGGAAAATTGCAACTGCAGTTTATCAAGTAGCTTGTTTCTGTAGTGCCCTTTTTGGTTCAAAACTTTTAGTTGAAAATGGGAGGGTCAATGCATTTACTTTATTCTAGATCTATAAACTTTATTCATAGATCTTGCATCAGATCTCTGATATACTGATTTTTCATGCTTTTGAATTTTCTTCAAAGGGTTAAGTGACTTCCACTCTCATATTCCTGTTCAATCTTGATGATCATAATTTCCTTGTATTATAGGTTGCATAAAAGTTACAAATTCTAATTCTCAAAACTATCAGATTTTTAAAAATAATTCATATGCTTCTTTGGCGTGCCGATTTTTTGAATTTAATGGTCCAAATTTTTTATTTTAGCAATTTCAATAATAAATGGTATCAATACATTATGCACTATAAACTTTATGCGTTGTTAACTTTTAATTTCGGCACACATACTTCATATAAATCATTGTACAGAAATATAATTTTGTAAAATCAGAAAATTACAAAATATCATAGAAACTTTAGGAAATTGTTTATAAATTTATAATTCCACGCTATAACCATAATCATATACCAGACATAAAGTAAGTGAAACCATTACTCATATTAAATCACATTTAAATATTTATTAAAAATCACTAAAAACATTAGGAACCCATATTTATTAGCTTCTAGAATTTAAAAAAGAAAAAAAAATCTCACAACCACGGTTTCTGATACCATTATACAACACTCATTACACTCCACATCTGTTACACCATGTTCACATCTTATTTAAAATCTTGTTTCAAGTGCTGGCTTCCAAAAGTAAGGTCAAAAAAGTCCCAAGTTGAGATTCTATATAGCTGTTGGGGGGCCACAGGTTAAATATTTTTTATATTTTAAAGAGATGATCCAGTCCGAGTAAAAAAAGACAAAGGCAAGTAGCCTATGATAATTGATAAACCTTCACAAAGGCCGGTCTAGCAACAAAGCACTAGAGCCAGCTTTAAGGCGGCTGACTTACCCTCCCAACAAAGCTCACTATTCATAGGGGGATCTATTTGTTAGGGCTTCAAAAAAATTTGTGGTGGCCATGGCCCCATAGAGCTCCACATAGTTCTGCCCCTGGATGGAGAGAAATATGGGATGGGGTTGGGCAATCGAAGGCCAGAAGGAAGAAGTGGATCCAGTTCCAAGTATTGGGTTGCTGACAGGTTTGTGGATGGTAACGGCTGCGGTGAATTTCAGAATGTTGATTGATGCAAGAATGTTCCCTTAAAGACCTTATTCCTTCCACTTAGTGTCAGTCACATATTGATGTTAAGTTCTAAAAGAGTGGGTTAGTATGGGAGTCTCGATTCCTTTCACCATATTTAGGACTAGACGATTGGTTTGATAGATACTCTCTTCAAATTATCTGGTACAGTGCCTTGCTTTGTGGGGAGAGGGAGGATATGTAAGGTGAATTCCTAATGGGAATGGCCGCTTCAAAGTTATTTGTGGCGGTGAGAGCCCTTTTTCATGGAAAGGTATTCGGAAGACTAAAATTCCCTCCAAAGATTTTTTTATGATTATTTTATTTTTATTTTTATTGGACTACTGTCTTGGAGGCTACATTCATCAGTAGGTGAGTTGACAAATAGAGGCAAATGGATCCCCAATTTGTGCTATATGTGCAAAAATTCCAAAACAACCATGTTCTACCTATCACCTTCTCACTCAATTGTGATGTCGCATGGAAGTTTCCGTGTTCACTTTGTTTTGAGTTGTTGCCTCAATCTACAAGACATCTTCTTAATTTCTAGGCTGGTCGTTGTGTCGTAGAAGATCCACCACCAAACGTGGCAAGTGGAACCCCTTTGTCCTGTGTGGAGAATGTGTGTTGGCCATTCTTGTGAGAATGTGGATAAGATCAATAAATCAATGCTAGACACTTCTCAGTTTTTGGTTGTATCGGAGACTTGACTCCTTGGATTCTTTTGTTGATTTTTAGGCTAATTGTGTATTTCATTGAAGGAGGCTAAGTTAGTGGCTCTTACATACTATATACACGGGCTGCACCCTCATTGGTGCTTGTTTATGAAACAAGAAACCTTACTTATCAATAGGATACCACAACAGTATCGCAAGCATATGCATACTAAGATGAGATGAAACAGAATCAGGCTGCAACAAACAATTAACAGCACTTAGACATAAGTCAAACCTGTATGAGGACAAATGATTTACGTGAAAGACCAGCCTGCATTAAACAAAAATATCGACTGAGTAAATGTATGAAAGAATTTGTAGAACAAAAAAATAAAAAAATAAAAATCCATGGGCAATAGATATAAGGGGGAAGGACTATTCAATTATGTCAATGTACAAATAGATCAGAAGAATTGAGGTAGTCGACTATAAAACTATAAACAAGCTAGTCACAGGTGGCTAAGTTGACAATAGAACAAGCACGACAGGAAACCACAACTTCAGCAGAAACTCACATGTATTGCCTCCTGTTGAGATTTATTGTGATTACTTTCAATGAACTCCACCAGCGGTCTAGAAATTGTCCATGCCCGATCTTCAGAATTTTGATTGGTTTCAGCAGCCATTAATATTAAATCCTTGAACGGGAGGGAGCTAACTGACCGTAGTGCAACATATTCACGAACAATAGTTGATAGACTGCAAATCTGAACATTATATTGCATTTATTATATGCTGACAAACTGAATGATATGTTTGGAGTTCCAATATACAGTTCATCTGGAACAAAGAGGTCAAAATTATTAACAGGACTAATCTGTGTTTGTGTGACTCTGAATAATCACCACTACCACAACCTCTGCAACAGCTGCTGCTGCTGCTACAATAATCGCAAACATGATTGCCTTTTTATTTTTTAAACCAACACAAGTACAAAACATAATAGTTATAATTGCAATTAGAAAAAGTCATTGACAACAATTCTCCAATAAGAAACCAAAGGTAGGCAGGCTTCTGGTGGGCAGCTTTTAATCTGAGTAAGGGCAGGGGAACCAGGGGTATGGTACTATCTAGGTGCAAAGAAATCCCGGATGAGACTGCAATGAGCATAAGAGCCATACCCTACAATATGTTTACAAACCAGATGTAGCAGAGGGGTTTAAGTTCAAATGCTTATAAGAGCCATACTCTACAACATGTTTAAAACATCAAAGCAATGTCCCCCATGCATAAAATAAACCAAATTTAAGTTTCCTTCAGACTACCATACATAAATAATCAAGTTACGAAGGACAGTACGGTATATTGATCACCAGCAAGTTGTCCTTTTCTCCTTTCATCTTGCTGACATGATAACTTAATGATGTAAGATCTGTCAATTTTCAACACTTTGGGGAGGATTTCAAAGTCATTACTTAGGATTAGCCATTATTATTAAAAACCATTATCATTTAAAGCTTAAGTATGATCCTGAACCAGTAGAGTGACATAAGATTTAAGGTTATTTGAGTAGCTTGGACCTTAGTGTGGCCCCAAAACAGAAAATGAATGTTTATTATTTTAAGAAATAACTATAAAAGAAAAGAAGAAAAAGAGCGGAAGAAAGGAGTAGTGAGATATTGACTGTAACATTAAAGCAAAGCTTTAAAGTTGCAACATCTAAATTAAATGGAAGTAAACTATAATAAAATAATAATTATTATAAAAAAATATTACTGCAACCACTGTTTTAGAACACAAAACATTCCAAAAAGTAGGTAGTGATCATGAGGTCAACCTCATGATAGAAGGCACATGATCTCCTCTTGATTATCACATTTAGAAGATGAAAATAGGTAAACACGCAGTATCATGGTGTTGAGCACATCAACACTCTAAAATACATTAAAATGAGGTCATGCTTGCCGGTCAAAGAAGAGGGATCAGTCACAAGAAAGAAAATCTGGATATTTAACTAACATGACTTATATATATATAAGTATTTGGCTAATGTCTGTGCCTTACATTTAGTTAACCATCCGTCCAACAGTGTCTCGATATTCATGCACCACTGAAACTAAGTAAACAAATTACGTTGACCCTCGTGACATTATCGTCCAACCTCCCTCCCTCCCCCCCCCCCAAACGTGTATAATTTTTCATCTCAATAGTATGAAAGTACCCACTAGTATCTCCCTTAACACTTCAAAATTCCCCTGCCATAAATTTAAACTCTATAAACATATAAAGTTTAGTTACTTACCATATATATATATATATATATATATATATATATATATATTATATAGTTTAATTAACAGACCAACAAAACAAGAGGATCCAAAGAGTCCATTTTCTTGGATAGAACTTCTTGATTAGGAAGTAGCCCGGGGGGCTTGTTTCGAACTTCCAATGCCTGCCATAAAAGTCTAAATAGATAGTTATCGCATCTATTTCTGAGCTGAAAATACTTTGATTTTGGTGAGTTAGAAATAGGCCAAAGTATAATGTTAAGAGAAATTTTTCCCTGATTAGTAAATGATATCATCTGCAACTTCAATGGATGCATTCAATTGGCATTTGAACAAGTGTACTAATTTGTAACCATCAATGTAGGAGGTAGAGGGACCATTACCTAGTGCAATGGAGCTCCTGCTAACAAGTGCAAGAACGTAGGTTCAAGCCCTATAGCAGATACCTTGTTAAAAATTCAGTCAGCCTAGTCCACCCCTCAACACTTTGTGTAGACTGGACCAACATTAGAATGCCCTTTTTAACATAAAGAGTAAAATGTAGGCACATTTTGCATGATGCACAACATAATTGTATTTGTGAACAAGCTAAGTGTGCCTTTAATGTTGCTAGAATTGTACTGACTTACAACCGTTTAATCAGAGTCCACGCCTCATGAAATGGCTGTGGAGTAACATAATCTTCAATCCCAACCTCTTTACATAAATTCCCATTTATTCATTCTCGTGAACATATTTTAGATCGCTTACATTATGGCAATTATTTCTCACTTGACAATGAAACTGTGGCCTGAAATGTGCTATGATGCAAACTAAAAAACAAGTAGAAAAATAATAATTTGCATAAGATCTATAAAAATAAACATATATAAATGTGCTCAATAATCCAAATTTTAGAAGGTTGTATCTAACACCATATTTGTATGAATGCATGGCACTAACACATCTATAGTCTTATAGTGACTGCTTACCCTTTTTATTAAATCTTCTTTGTTCCCTCTTTTTCTTCTTGTGTAACCACATCTGCCTATTTATACTATAAAAGATGATAGCTATAACAATAACAACAACAACGATGACGAGAAGAACAATAACAACAATCTACCATGTAATGCACCCGGTATGCCGACACTAACTAGCCACATGAAAGGCACTTCAGATGAAAGCACAGGAAATTGATTTTCTGGTAAACTAAGGCTTCCAAAGCAAGTTTGTAATGAGTCAGAAATCAAATGTGTCAATGAGGAACAGAATGGGCACCACTCAATGTTGTTGAAAGATACAGAAATTCCATTCCAAATTTCCAACATTTAGTTTTACCAATTAAACACTAAAATGGAGTTGAAGTGAAGTTAAATTTTCAATATACCCTCATTGTTTATTTTCATAAGATAATATTCAATGGAAGAAGAAACTATATAATTCCATCAGGAATAATTTTTTATTTTCAACACAAAATTCTACCAATAGCATAAAATCGGTCGTAACGTATAAAATACTAGTAACCCTGTTTGGCAAATTGATTTCCCACGTTATTTGAACTGAGGGAACATAATATATGAAATTTCCACCAAATATCTAGCATGCAAGTTACCAACAAAACAACTCATTTATATAATCTGAGCTTAAAAGAGAATAAATAGAAATACCTTCATAGTGAACCACTGCTTCTTATTTTCTATAATCTGAGCACGCATCTTTGACAGCCTCTCACAATATTTCACTTCAGCTTTATCTGCTCGCTCAACTTCTCCACTTAAATGCATTCTAAGCGTAAAACAGTCTGACTGACGATGCTCTACCAATGCAAAAGCATATGTACTTGGGAGTTCTTTACCTTCTCCAAACTGCAAAATGATCCCATCCATACACACAAAAATGTAGATGGTCCATCATTTGAAGCCACATTAGGCAAATATTATTTTTACCAGGTATAAAGTGTAAATAAACTCAACTATTGGAAAGAATGCTGAAAAGCAGTCAGAGAAAGTATAGCACTAAAAAGACCACTGAAATTCCAATAGGGATAGTCTGAATTTTTTTTTTTTCCTAAGCATTGTCTGAATTGTCAGAATAACTATTCGTGAAAAAAAATAAAAAAAGATATAATTTGAATAGAATAATGATATTTTAACCAGCAACCTTCTCCTTTGAAAGCAGTAATAGATCATTTTGTGATACTGAATCCCCGTGACTGCCATCACGAAACATCCTTGGTAAGTGAAATCCATTGGATTCGTTGCATTCTACCATCATCCAAGTCTTACAATCTGTTACTGCAGTGCCAATATTTAATAAATTAGAGAGAATAATGCTTTCTTGGTTACATTCCCAACTCAAATTATGCAAAAGACTTTGATATTAATACTGAAAATTTTTGGGCCTCGTTCAGAAGATCGGATTAATGCGTGTGTTGTCACTGTTGTGTCTGTGCAAATACATAATTAGGCAAATTAAGTTCCGGGTAAACCTCCAACTCTAAATATTTGAACTAAGTGTACAACTTGTTTCGTGGGTTAATCTTCAATCCTCAAATATCTGTGGAAAAAAAATAAACAAAATAAATGGGAAAAAAGAAAAGAAACAAGAAATACCATCTTCCTCGTCTCTTCCTTGAATGATCTGAGATTTCACTTCTTCAAATAGCAGTGGCTCAAATGTTGCAAGATATTCATCAACATCTTTGTAAGTGCCCTTCACTTGCTTCAGACCCAAATCATTTTTGTCCCCAATGTCTTTGCTTTTTTTCTGATTCAAAGAAAAAAAGTAAACCCAAATCATTTTTGTCCCCAATGAAACAAATAATGCATCTCTATTATATCTAAATATAAAACCACGTACACACTTGTTTGTGTGTAGAACAGAGGCGATGGAAATAAGTAATTACGTTGTTGGCTTCTTTGAGGAGGCGTAGATAGTCCCAAGTCAGAACTATTTTGTAGAAACGAAGAATAGAGGCTTCCTCTTCAAGCTTATTTTTGTCCAAGGCCATCTCACCTCCTCTCTCTTGGCAGAGAGAGAGGGTGTGTGGTGAGCGAAAGTGCTGGACTGTAGGAGAGAGAGTAAGTACTGAACTGTAAGAGAGAAGGGTTTTAGGTTTTTAACCTATTAGGGTTTATATAGTTTTGGCTAATTAGGCTTGCTGCGTTTGGTGCAAAACAATGAGGTCTGGGAAAACTGAAACGTAACTAAACTTATTCGACATTTTAATTATTTATTTATTTTTAAAAAATGTCCGTTCGAATTAATAAATTTTTTTTTTTTTTGTGAATTTTTAATAAATAATGATATTTTTTCACTTTCAAAGCAATATGTCAATAAATTTAAACTTAAATTTATTTTTATTAAACTAATTTTTTATCATCACTTTCAAAGCAATGATGATAAAATTTTCAAAGTACGGTAACGTACTTTGATCCGAAAAAGGAAATAAAAATTTATTACTGAATTAAGTTGAGTGGATTTTCATAGGCATAAAAGACCATTTTTGTGGAGGTCATACTTAAAAGTCTTCCCTTTTCCTTTGTTTTTTTTTTTTTTTAACTCATTTATATCCTTTCAATTCTATTTGAATTCGTTTGGGTGTGGGTGTTTTGTCAAAACCAATGCCTTCAATTTTTATTATTTATAGTGAATAACAAAATCATTACACAAACAATTTTTTTTTTTTGATAACCTCAAACCAATCAATCAAATATTGATTAATACGTAATCGATTGAACACTGCTTGAAAATAGCTCTTCTGTTCCAAGATGAAATGCTCCAAATGTTATAATAACTAAAAATTCAAAAAAACATTTGTCTTTTGGTCAAAATAAGCATAAATAAAAAGTAGTTTAAAGAATAAAAATCTTTTGATTTATAAATTATAATTCTTTGAAAATTTTTATTAAAAAATAAAACTCTTTTTGAATCACTATGGAATAAAATTAGAAAATCATTTATATTTTGATCATTTTTTTTCGTTTTTACAATATATATATATATATATATATATATATATATATATATATAACGAATAATAATGTCAGCAAATGATTGAGTTCAGTAATTTCTCGTATAAAAATATTGATTCTAGAGATACAGTAATATGGAGAAGACAAAATTGTTTATCAAAGAGTAGTAGCTTTGATTTGCGCAAAGGTTTCAAAGATAAGGAATTAAGATTTTTATTTTTTCTATCTAGTAAGCTTGGCTTTAATTATGTGCAAAATAACTTTAAAACATAACAAAAAATTGAAATATGCAATTAGAATAATTTCCTCTCACACTTTCTGAAATTATTAGCATTTGGGATTACTATTTTTATAGTGCTATTTTGCTATCACTTAAACTTGCTTTTGATCTCTGAACAAAAGACTTTTAAAACACGACAAAATAATCGAAATATGCAATTAGAATAATTTCTTCTAATACTTTCTAAAATTTGCCTATAATTTTGTTCATTGAGAATAATATAAACTGAAAAAAAATAGAGAATTACATATTCCTTAAGCATGAATGGTTGTTATCTAAAGCCAACATTAGAATACACATGTTTGTTCAAGTTAATAAATACTACTAGTATTTCTTTATTTTTTTCTGTTTAAGAAATAAAATGTGACTTAGACATATTGTCAAAATGGATGTGTTAATATATTTTTTTGTTAATGAAAAATAAAATAAAATATTTCTTGATGGGTTAAAAATAAAATAAAATAAAATATTGTTAAACCATTTTTCTTGAGTTATTTTCTCATTTATACCCTAGCATACCCTGGCCCTGCGTTCCAAAAGGCTGAAGTAACCACTTCGCCGGAAACCTATTTAGCCCTACATATTCATATACTGTATATATGCGCACACAAACACACACATACTATATTGTTTCTCTGGTCGGAAAGCTTATCAAAGGTGCCGTCTAGCTCTTTCAATCTCTCTGCAAACCCTAGCCCCAACATTTTTCCAATTGTATCCACTGTGCACTGATATGATGGTATAACGAATTCAAGGTTTATTTTACGATCTATATTAAACGAGCAGTGATTGGAAATAATGCCATTTTGGAACTCCAACCACTCGAGAAGGTACTTTTCCCGATTTTCCGATTCCATTATCTGCACTCTTCGGAGGGAGTCGAAGATTGACGCCGGCATTGCCTGCTTCCACAATCACACTGGTACAAGATCCTCCCTACCTCCTCCTCCTCCTCATCGTCTGGATCAATCCGAGGTTTGGTTCGTTAAGGTTGTATGTACTGTCTGTTTCCGATTTTCGCCTTCTCTCGATATATTCCACTCTAATTACTTCTCTAAGAACTTGACACCCACTATTGCTTTCAACGTTATTAGATGCATAGGCACTTTTATCAATAATCCACATTTAGCTTTCAATTTCTTTCAGTTTACCAAGAACAATTTGAAGCTCTTTCATTGTTTTGCAACATATGATTTTCTTTTGAGGTCTCTTTGCCAAATGGGTATTCATGATTTGGCCAAATTGGTTTATGAGTACATGAGGGTTGATGGGTATTCGCCAGATAGTTCCTGTCTCGGTTTCTTAGTATCGTCCTTTGCCCACATTGGTGAGTTTGACGTTGCCAAAGAATTTCTGGTTCAAGCTCTTTCTAGTGAAAATGTTGAGGTTAGTCCTCAGGTATATAATAATTTGTTGAGTCTATTAGTGAAAGGAAATCGGGTAGCTGAGGCTGTATGTTTCTTTAGAGTTCATATTTTGAGCTCAAAGAACTGCAATGTAGATACCTTCACCTTTAATATTGTCATACGAGCTCTGTGCGGAGCACGAGAGGTTGACAAAGCTTTTGAGTTTTTCAATGGCATGGGGAGATTCAATTGTTTGCCTAATCTGATGACCTACAATATTCTTATAAATGGATTGTGTAGGGTCGGTGAAGTGGACAGAGGGCGTGAATTATTGAGAGAAATTCAGTCAGGAAATGGGTTTCATCCGGATGTTGTAACTTACACGTCTATGATATCAGGGTATTCCAAGTTGGGTAACATGGAGGCGGCTTTAAATATTTTTGATGAGATGATTAATTGTGGAACTAAACCAAATTTGTTCACTTTTAACGTCCTTATTAATGGGTTTGTCAAGAAAGGTGACATGGCTTCGGCGCTGAATATGCATGAGAAGATGCGTTTTCTTGGTTGTATTCCTGATGTTGTCACCTTCACGTCTCTTCTTGATGGTTATTGCCGGTCCGGGCAGGTGGACCAAGGCTTAAAGCTTTGGGATGAAATGAATGTTAAGAACTTGTATCCAAATGTGTATACTTTTGCAATTCTTATCAATGCTTTGTGCAAGGAAAATAGAATAAATGAGGCCCGTGATTTATTGAGGCAGTTAAAGTCGAGGGGTGATATCGTTCCCCGGCCATTTATCTACAACCCTGTGATTGATGGGTTTTGTAAGGCTGGTAATATAGACGAGGCAAATGTGATTGTTGCAGAAATGGCTGAGAAGAGATGCAACCCCGATAAATTGACATATACAATTCTCATCATCGGTCATTGCGTGAAAGGGCGAATGCTTGAAGCAATAAGCATTTTCAATAAGATGTTGGCAGTTGGTTGTGCCCCAGATGCAATTACTGTAAATTCTTTAATAAACTGCCTTTTGAAAGCTGGGATGCCTAATGAAGCTTTTAAGATAATGCAAACTGCATCAGAGGACTTGAAGTTGGATATGCCATCTTTGAGGAGAACTATTCCATTTAAGACCAATATGGATATTACAGTGGCTGTTTAATTGAAAGGGTTGTTTCACTAATCACTAGTGCACTTGGCTTTGTGGACCTAGCAGTTGGATGTGGTACATCCACCATTATGCCTCAAGAATCGGAAGAAACAATTTTAGCTTGGAGCTGTAATAAACCAACAAGCGGTAAGTTTTTTACCCTCCTCTGTTCATTGATATCATCTACATTATCTTTTGCTATTTTACATACTTGAAATTGAGGCTGATTTGTTGAGATTTACCTGTGTTTTCTTGTTGATTTGGTAGTTGGAATTTCATCATGTTAACTTGATGCAAGGCACAATTCAATTGCATACCTTTATGAGTGAATTAGTCTGAAGAAGTTATGTATAAAATGGTTGGGAAAGAAGAAAGAAAGTTAAAGAGAATGGTTGGTAAGAGTAGACAAATTTTTTTTATAAGTAGTAAGAGGAGACAATTTGGTGGGCAAAAAGCTTATTTTGACCCTCTCAAGGTCCAGGAATGGCTAATTTCAGTTGAAGTAAAAAAAAAAATATTTGCTTTGATATTTATTGTTCACCAATGAATTTAAATATGCTTATGTGATAATGCATATGATGTAAAAAGACCCATAGCCTAGTAGAAAAAGCTAGGAAGACTATAATATCTTTAGTTATGCAAGAGATCCTTCAAAAGTGACTCTTGTAGCTCATGTTGTTCACTTACAATTTGTTATGAAGTTACAAATATGAATTGTAATATAACTTCTTTGATAAATAACATGGACTCACTGCTGTCCCATCTGTGATCTGAAACCAACACCTCTCTCTTTATGGGAAACCAGAGTTTTTTTTTGATAAGTGATGGGAAGCCAGAGTTATTACCACTCAAGCTAACAGTTGACAAAAATGTGAAGTATAATATGATAAAAAAAAACTCATTAAACTATTTTAAATAAGATTTCAAGTATTCTAACTTACAATCAAGTAGTATTTTTAGATTAAAGAAAATGAAACAAGCTCTGTGCTAACTGTAGATCGTGATCTAATAAATATATGATGCAATGATATCAACTTGCACCTACAGAATTATAAAATTTAACTTTTGCAATGATGGGAGAATACTAAGGTCACGCGTTTTACGTTAGATGGCAAGTAGTACTTCATGTTGGAGTGATTAATTACAAACCAAGACCATTTATTGTAAACTCCTTTGCATCGTTCTCTCACTTGAATGGGTAAAAAGTTTCCGAATTAGTTTAAATATTGAACCCTCCTTTATAATAAACTGCATACACACACACACACAAAAACTATTGCTTTAAGATTTAATTTTTTCCGACTTTAATATTTGCAGTCATCATTTTGAATTTCATACGAGCGCTTGGAAATTTCACCTGGCAATCAAACGCTGAGTTATTCACACTTCTACTAAGAAGATTTTTTACATTCTTACACATCACCTAATAAAACATCAACGGGTGTACCGTGTATCATCAATGATCATAAGAAGTATGGATTATTATACTTTTTGAGTTTCAATTCAAATTCTCCATCTTAGTAATGAATTTGATGATTTTGTGCTCTCTCCATCTAATTCTTTGCGGATTTGTTGGGTGAACAAAGTAATTGTTAGAAGGTTACTGGCCAGAAGTGACTCCAGAGGTTGCAAGTAATTTTCCATATTATAATTTCTTATGATTGTGTGTGTGTTTAGCTTTTGTCAATTGTTGTAAATACCTCTTGGCATTTTTTTTGGATTGATGTCATGCTAACTGATGTGGGAGTTGGTTTTACAAATGGAAGACTCAATCAGTAGGACATATGTTTTATACGAATGAGCTGTCTTCTAAGAAAGGGCAAGTATCATTTCTTGATGAGTTGTCTTTTAAAAAGAAGACAAGTGTCCCTTTGTTTAAAAAATTTAAGATATTCATATCGTCAATTATTTTAACATGAAAACTTAATTATCTACCAAGTAACCGGCATTAGGGAGAGAATATTGTTCTAATCAAGATACTTCAGCTTATACCACCCATTTAAAAAAAATGTGATAATTATTCGACTGTTTGTCCTTTTATTTCAAGAAGAAAATTCATTAGAAATAGGATATCTATTCTATTATTGGTGGGTATCTGATGGATGACCTGGTTTGGTTTCCTGATGACAATTAAGTGGTCCATTTATCCAACCTTGGGCTTTGTTTGTAGACCCATATTTAAGAAGATAGCTGATGATCTTCTTTTTTTTTTAATTTTTATGGGCACCAGTGAAGCCTCTTTTTATTATTGGTCTAGACAATGTGATGGGCTATTTTAGTTATCCATCATCCCATTTAATGATGAGCTGCTAAGAAATGGCTGCCAATAGTTGCTTGTGGCATCTTAATTTGGCTTGATTGCTCATGGAAAATTGACCATGGCTTTGAACCCTTTCAATTTGAGAGAGGGAGTGTTGGAGAAAGATTAATTGCAGGAATGTTTGTACGGTAATATTATGTACTTTGGCTGTGTCATTTGTTATTGTCAACTTGTATCAATGTTGGAGAGAGTGCAATATCATGGGAGATTGTATGGGTAATTGGGTATATGGGGTGCCATGATAGACTCTAGTTATATCTGAATAAATTAGACCAGATTGGAATAAATCTGGTGAATATTGCTATTCTTTTGTTTCTATTTCCTGTCAATTTAGTAGTCTACTCAAGTTCATCTTAGGTTTATGTATTTCAGTCTACCTCTTTGCCAATGAAGCTGTTCGTGACTTGGCTTGATTTGCTTGAATGTTAAATGTAATTGACTTCCATTTGATATTTTAACCACGGCATTTTCCACCATGCATGTCTGTATTTTTCTTTTAAATAAATGTTAAGAATTTGAGGGTATCTGCCAAATAGGCAATCAACTCTGGCCTAACTAATAATGATCGTATCTTTATGTACTTGAAGTATTCCTTTTGCCCTCTTATAATAATTTTCTAGTTTCCCATGATTTGTTTTGCTTTCTTGTTCATGGAGATGTTTATAATCTTTGTTACAAGGTCTGTTTATAATCATTTTCAGTTCTACTGGATTGTATTACCAAATTAACCAAAGAAGGAATGGTTAAATTTAGTGGATCACTGACTCTTGTAGATTCTGTGTCCTTAAAAGTGCAGCTTGTTAATCTTGTAAATAGATAAGCTTCCAATCTTTGATTATGCTGTGTTCTCGTGACTTTTTATATTATTCTATTTGTTATACATGAACATGATGGTGTTACTGTCTTGGATGCTCTGTAGGAACGTGATGAATGGTTCAACTCTGCTGCTTACCGAGCCAAGTTTTATTTCCTTTTCTGATGCCAGAGGGAAAATTAGCTTCTGCTGTGAGGTTTTTTCAATCCGTTTTGTATTCTTTTTTTGCTTTTAGCATCATTTTTACTTTTGTTTATCTTGTATTCTGTGCAAGAACTTGGTAATTACAATGTACAATCAAAAGGTGCATGCTTCAAAATCTGGATACATCCTTATAATTATTTATAATGCCTGTACAATCTTAATGTTCAAGCTACAAACGCATGATAAAAATTTGTAGTTATACAATGGTTTCTTTGAATTATATACAACAGAGTGCTAGTAAAGTTTTAACTTGAATTCATGTTTTTAGTTTTTCTGCTTTCTGATCAACATAGAATGTTCGAAAGATTTTGCTCGAAATTGTGGAGGACAATCATCTTTTACCGGACTTACAGTTTGGTTCCATGCACAAAGCTATTTTTTTATACTCTACTTATAACTTAATTGAATTGTTGCTTTGCTGCTATATTCTAAACATCATATGTGAGAAATTTGAGAAACAATGTTAGAAATTGCGTCTTAAAATACCTGCTTCACAATTCATGAAATTATCTCCGCCGAGAATTTGTTATCTGTAGGGATGGACGTGTTTTGCATGATGCTACACATATTTTTAATCAAAATATCTTTTACACACCCTAAATTTTCATTTAGTATTATTTTTAAAATGCTTCTATATTAAGCCCTAGGCTTTAAATTGCTTGTGTTGTATTTTATGGTGATAATTAGTTTACTATATTCCCACCAGCTGCAAGAATTTTACACATTCTATCTGCAGTCCCTTGGCTTGTCTTGTTTGGTGACAATGTTTGGGTTTAATCCCCAAAGTTCTTTGGTTCGACGTTGTTAGAAGTTCACTTTTTGGCGGTGTCAAGCTTGTTCTAATATTGAATGATTTGAATCTTTGCCTTTGTTTTATGTGTGTCATTGTTTGCTCTGACCAGATTTTCATTTATTTTTCTTGCAGCAACCGACTGAAAAGGATTCAGAGTCATATGGACAAGTTAGCAGGTGGAGGATGATGTTGATGACGATGTTGGGTAGCTTCAGCTATATATAAACCACATCTTTCGAGGTCTGGCTTCTCATGAAACCTCATTTGGCAGAGGCTATGAAGGTTAATATACTAAACAAATTTTTTTTTCTTTCTATTATCTATTCCATGGGATTAAAGATTTCTTTATGTTTCAAGAACTTGTCATTTTACTTCTAAATGCAACATGGTAATTTCGAAATGTCAGTAGTTTCAAACCCGCAATGCAAAGTTCTTTTCCGGTGGTTGCTGATTTGAGGTTTTTTTCTACCAGCAGGTGCATGAATCTCCCGAATGGATTCATTTGACATGAAAAAAGAAAACCATCTCTCATCCACCAGATAACACTTGTTTGTGACTGCGGGTTCAAACTCCGAACAATTCCTCTAATATTTATCATCCACCGGCAGAAACATTTTGAAAATTTTAATGCTGTATTTGATTAAAAGGGGTGTAGCGAAGCAAAAGCGGGTGTGTGAGTTTCTCGACAAGTTTTAAACTCTATCTATATAGTTCCGTATAGATATGCACATTTTGCAATGAGAATATCCTTTTTTCACTCTGTTTTGTTCTTACAGGTTTGTTTACCCATAAATTGGGTGTGAGTGCTAGTTTAAGCTTTACTTTCTTCTTAGAAGTCTTGTTTAGTACCAATTAAAAGTCAGCTGTTGACTTCTCACCAGTGTGTCTGATTTCGCTCCCAATTAAAAGTCAATTGAAAGCTAATTCCTATGTTTTCATACATTTTAGTCGTATGTTTTCATAAATTCCTATGTTTTCATACATTTTAGTCATATTGAGTTTATTTTTTTGCTCTATTTTGTTTCCACAAGTTTGTTCCACACATTGTCATTGCACTATTTTTTATTTGAATTGACTTGTTCGTGAAAGGCTCAATTTCATACATTTTTTCTTTGATTGACTTCAATATCGGTCAAGCCAGTTTGATGAATTTTCCTCAATATGATGGGATGTTTGATTTATTTTTATTTTGGGAGTAAAAATATCATCCTATATATCAATATATGTTACAAATACTGGTACATATTTGGTAAGAACGTGTTTTATCATTTCATGCTTGACGTTCAAAAAAAACAAAAAAATGGGTATAAGGAATTGATGTGTGAATTATTTAATTTGGAATGTTAAAATGTAATTTCAAATAATTTAGCAAAAAAAACGAAGGAAAAAATATATATATACATGTATGGTAAAAGTATAAGGTTAAATAGAACCATTACTTTATGCAAGAAATCTTCTAGAATTCTAGAATTATTATTAGTAAACCTTTTTGAAATTTATTTTTTGCTAATAATCCCTTATAAATTTATAAGGGATTTGGTAATTAAAATAGTTTATTTTTTTGGCTAATAATCTTTTATAAGGGATTTGGTAATTTATATTCACCATTTATGATTTGGTAATTAAAATAGAATGTGTTCATTTATTATTGGTCCAAATCAACATTCAATATGGTGTAGATCATCACTAATAAGAACTTAAGTATTGTTTAATTTATAATATCATAATTTATGCATCAATAAGAGATTTTAAAATTAAAAGTAATAGACCATCGTGCACGTGCTGTCTCTTATAAGACAAATAAGCCTATTTCAAAAAAGTTAGCAGATAATCTAAAATCAAATGATCCATAACAATCACAAGTTGCCATGAAACCAAAAGGATGAACTTTATTTATTTTTTCAGCTTCTAATTAATCATTGAGAGACCACATCTGAACTTGGGCATAATAGTCTTTTTATGCAACTATTTGTTTAGTTTAGGGTTTTTTTTATTTTTTTTAACTTTGGTATGGTTCAAAAGAGTTACTCGAAATATTAGAAGATCCTATCCACGTGGCAGAAACTTAGGGTTTCCTGCACGTAACCCAAAATAGTAATGCCATTATATATACATAATATTCTAAATATACTTGTTGCCGTGGATGGGTGTAAATGGATAACGAATCACATCAAGCATAACACGTGTCACTGACAACAATTAATTTAAGAAGAATCAACTCTTAGCAAGTTAAAATTAAATATTTTATAACAATTTTTTTAATTTAAATAAAAATATATTTGAGTTAATACAACAAAAAAATATTGTAGAACATTCAAATAACACTTCTTTGGTTACTGTAATTTTTTTATGTAATTAATTATACACATTCACTTTATGGAACATGCATATGCATAAATGAGAAGTCATACAATTACTGTACATAGTAGTAAGGTTTTTTTTTTTCAATTGATTTTTAATAATATAATTTCATGTGTAAGACTTTATGGTAATTTTTCACCTTCTTATTTATTTATTCACCAAAGACGGTGGGTTTTATTATTGTTTTTCGTAAAAAGGAAAGGCGGTGGATTTATGTTCCACGAACCAGGCCAGTGAAATTACCACCTTACCCCCGATGGACTACCAAACCCGGTTAACAAAAACAAACAGAAGTAATTGAAGTTATTTGCGTACAAATAAAGCCAACTATAAAAGTACCCAATTGTCAACAAAGAAAGCTCCAGAGGATATTTTTGTCTTCTCACCTAAGAAAACCCAACAATGAAGTGTCTTCGTACCGCCTTTGGCGCACAACAATATCAGTCTATAAATACCCATAAGCCATAATCTACAAACATACATACCCCTCTCTCTCTCTCTCTCTCTCTCTCTCTCTCTCTCTCTACATCTATATATATATTTATTTATATATCTCGATCTCTATATTTATCTGTATACTGTTTTGTGGTTTTAATGGAGGAATATTTACAATATGCAAGTGAAAGGAAGAGAACCCAGAAGGAGTTGGGGTTGACACGGAGAGAGATGGACGCGGCTTTTCAGCTGATTCAACTCAGCGATGACTCAGTTGATAACAGTATTAATAGTGCTAAAAGCGAAGGAGATTCATTAAGTACTGGTATATCATCATCAACCGTGGTTTTTGATAAAAAGAAGGTGATTGATGATGATGAGGTACTGGGTTTCAGAAGGAAAAGGAAGTTTCGATCCATGGATGATTTGTATCGGAGCACCAAGCCTTTTGTCAAACTGCATGGTGTCAAGCGAAGGCGTTGATCATGGAGGCAACATATATCTATCTATTTGTATATATTTTTGGAATTTTTATAGCATATGTTTATATGTTATGGTTATAGAGTTTGGAAGGGAATAATATGTAAAATTGTAAATAGACTGCATAATTGCAGGTGAGTTAAAGACTATTTTTATTTATTTTATGTTTTTGTAATTTGAACAAATTACATTATGGTTTATTAATCACTTATTAGATATTTAGATGTTTCTTATTTGAATATTGTTGTATTGATTATGGTTAATTAATCTTAATTGTTCATGGGTTTACCCAGAAAAATCAAGCTATCCATTACAAAGTATCACACACACAATGTGTGTTATCACATCTTATAATGAAGAGATCTCTAGGAGTAGTTGAAGTATATATGTAATTATGTATGTGTGTGTTTACACACACACATAATACCCTTTCTTTTCTTCTTTACTTCTTATCTTCCACCTTATAGCAGACCTGTTTGTAATAGAAATTTTCCTGTTTTTTTTTGGGTCCAAAATTGAATCTTTTGGACTGTGGTATATAAATCCGGTTCACTTCAGGAATATGAATTTTCTCTTAATCGACCAGTCACAACAAAATTACACATAATTTATAACGGTCAATTTTATTATTTCCTGACTTGTTATTAGGGAGATGGCATTACTGTATTAATTATAGGACGGTTTATGTAAATCAAAAGGAGGTCAATGTGTGCAAATTTTCGAACAAGAGAATAGGTTCCATGTTATTTGTTTGATTCAATCATAAAAGTTGGAATTAATAAAGAAGAAGATGCAGGTTTTAATTCAGTTTATAAAAATTAATTAATTTCAGAAGTCTCTTGGAGTGCTCCCTCACGCGTTGCGTAAGGGTAACATTCACATTTTAATCTCCTAATAATGGTCCAATTACTCTTTCTACAGAGAAGTGCCAACAATTACTTGGTTGTCAAGTTAAAACACACACACACACACACACACACACACAAGGGAGGGCAAGATACGTGGTTGTCAAGTTTAAAACACACACACACACACAAGGGAGGGCAAGAAAGAGAAAGTTTAATGCACCATTAGAAGGACATATATGCATGGACAATCCTTAATAATGTGAAGCCACCGAAAAAACTGTACAAGGCGGACGAGCACCAAAAAAAATGTACAAAGTAGATAATATCTGCATAGAGTGGATAATATCTGCATAGAATGGTATATAATCTTATGTTAATTTATTCCAACTATAACCTGCATAAAATTTTATTTTTCACTATCTGTACATGGATGGAGAAGTCTAAAAGAACTTATATTTGAGAGAGAGATCATACGCTCAAGGATGAAAAAAAGGTCAACGTACAGAATTTTCTTCTCTGCCTCCATCCTATCAAAATTGTTCACAATGACAAAATAACACAAATTCAATTAAAATAAATAAAATCAAGCAATTGCATTCAACCAGCAATGATCTTCGCCAACAGAATCCTTAAAAACATATTTTGGCTTTTGCTACCTCTATATTTAAGTAGGGCTAAAGGTGTTCAATATTTCAAGGATCCGATTTCTGCATTTGGGGCACAAGAAAATCCAAACATCTTCAATTGCATTTATCCCGTCATTCCATCATCGGAAGTAAAAAAGGCTGAACCAACAAGATGAAGACATTTTGAATTCTCTAGTATTTGATTAATGTTCAAGGTGGAAGACATATTCAGTTAAGCGCTGCAATTTGCCGGGATCTAATTTCTGCTCTGTTACAACAGGCTGTTTCTTCACAGTAAGCATTTGCGAAGCCGGGTCTGCTTCCCAACCCTGTTGGAGCACATCTGCATACCACAGGACCAAAACCCAATTGGCATCAGTACAAACAGCAGCGGAGAGAAACAAAGGCTGCAATTATTTTCCTTGTTCTTAAAGAAGCATTCCATTCACAGTTTTAACCTCACAATTTTGTGGACACATGATGATTAGCTAAAGGTTTTCCTGGAAGATGTCTAGATAAGCCCAGAAATAGAAGGCAAAAGAAGGGGGTAGAAAATTTCAAATCTACAAATCAATTATGCGCAAATGATGCATACCAAATCGGAATCCATAAACTTCTATAGATACAAAATTGTAAATTAAAAAAGAAAAGAAAAAGAAGAAGTTATAATCGAACATCTTCTTTCATGGAGTACAAATCCAACTTATCATGAACGGGTAACATTGGGAAGAACATGATAACAGCATGATTATATGTAACCAGAATGGGACCAAACAAGTTTCTAAGTCAATTTCAGCAAATCTTATGTCACAGACCAAATGTCAGCTGTATTGGACAATATACAACATATATTGTTCTCCCTCTCAGGGAAGTTCATAAGAAGGTCCTTTAGACTGTCCATCATGCTTAGGTAACCTTAAGAGGTCAACTTTTTTGACAGTGGATCTTCCACCAACAGACTGGTTGACCATCATTTATATATATACATGCGCTAGAGAAGTTTGCCCTCATTATTAGAACTATTTTACATAAATAAACCATTATTCACGTTCCATATGTGTGTCACTAACTTCATTACCTACATAGTGCAGCATACCAATATATATTTTATTTCAGCCAAGTATTGCAGTAACAAATCAATTATGAAATAAATTAAAAAAAAAAAGAAAAAAAGAAAAAGAAAAGAAAGAGGAATGGCAATGTCATCATATAAGTCAAATAGAAAAGCACAGCAGCTTACAGCTTGTAGCATCATTCTCATTCATTCCCAGGAAGAGAGCTGTATCTTGAACACTAATTGTCGAATAAGCAGACAGCAGTAGCTCAAACATCTTTTTGGTGTAAAGTTCTGCAAAAAGTAAAGAAGACAATCACGGCTGACCATAAATATTATGGATTTGAATATTTCTATGCAAAACAAAATTCAACAAAGTCTCAACCCTACAACTAGTTCGGAACTAAGCGCAGAGGGACGTACTTTTTATTAGAAAAGAAAAATGAAAAAGGTGAAACAAAAAACCCGAGAGACAGAGAGAAAGAATGTCAACACAAAAATAAATGAGTAAAATGGATGTAAAGAAGACAACCATTGCTGACCATAGATTCTGGAATTGAATATTTCTATGCAAAAACAAATTTCAACAAACAAAAGCCGCAACCCTACAACTAGTTCAGAACTAAGCACAGAGAGACATACTTTTTATTAGAAAGGGGAAAAAAAAAAAAAGAAAGAAAAGAAAGAGAAAGCTGGCTTCTCCCCCCCCCCCCCCCCCCCCCCCCCCTCCCTTCCTTCTCTCTCTCTCTCTCTCTTTTCTTGTTTTCCCCCTCTTTTACTGGTGCATGGATCTCCGTTACCAGGCAGAGAAAAATGTATCATTATATATTACAGCATTTTTTCCAAAAAAATATAAAAGAGGCATCTGGTACTTGAATGACTTGTCCATTTGACTCCTAGGTTTTTTATAAGACAACAATCATCTTCTCTCACCAGCCACCAGTTACTCACCCTGATTTCAAAACTCTAAGATGCAAATCCTAAGTAACATCTCTATTAACAGAAGTCATACCAAATTTAGAGTAGTGTACCCAAAAGCACTTGGAAGCTTGCATTTTAGGCAAGTCAAGGAATGCGCTAAACACCCTAGGTGAGGCAAAGTTGCTGAGCCTAGTGCTTCTTATTTAAAAGATATTTACTTAAATGGCCCTAGTAGATGGGTACTTGCATTTGGAGAATTTTGTCCGCACAGTTTTTACAAGATATATATATATATATATATATATATATATATATATATATATATATAAAGAACTAAAAGCCCAAGCTGCTGAACCCACATTCAATTGGGGATAGATTCTCAAAGAAGAGAGTCATGATGGAATATTGAAAAAAAAAAAAAAAAGGAGAGAGAGAGAGAGAGGTGGAAAACAAAAATAACAACGGTCCTTTTTGTTTTTCTTAATTATTTGCTGTGGATAAGTTTGGTGCTTCAATTGATATATGTCATATCAACTCTTTTGTTATTATGCTGATTGCACTAAATGAGTCTGCGGGGATTTACTAAACAGATCTATTATCATCGAATTAAAAAATCTATAACTACGAAGGCATTATTTGAGTTACACTAAATAAACTTTTAACGTCTAATGCATTTATTAATTTTTTGAAAGTCAGAGTTGCTTCACTCAGGCAATCACTTTTTTGTCAACTGCACTTTGATGATATAGATTCTCAGAACCTTAAGGGTGCCTTTCACCCCTAAAACACTGATCAGATATCTTTTTCATCAAATTGTATACTAGAAGAAATAATTTGTTCATCTTTACGTCCTCATAACTTTTGTGCAATTTCTTTTATGGGTTACCGTAGATGTTTTGTCTATCACAATTTGCTCAACGCCCATACTCTAAGCCATGAAGTGCAATCACTGCTTAGGCTAAACAATTGAAGCTGATACTTCGTCAACACTATTTTATTATTTTTTTTTCTTTCGTATATTTTCCTTTGTTTCTTTCCTAATGATACATGTCTTTCACCTTCATTATAAGCTATTGAAATACTGGGAAAATAAGAGAGTATCCAGCAAAGAGAAATATCCTCACCGCCCTACGCCTGTCACAAGACCTATGCCATTTTCTAGAAGAAGGACCTACCACTAGGAAGGGACTCCAAAGTCAGACCATGCACTGAGCAGTGAGCACAATTCCATGGACCCAACTGTTACTATTAACTTCCTATTGGCAGCAATCACCCCATTTTCAGGCCTATCCTCCACCACCACAAATCTCCAAATATTTTCTCCCAATAGTGCACTTCCATTTTTTTATACGGATCAGAGTCCCAACCCAACTCTGTGATCAAACTACAAATACAATTAGGAACTTCAAACTCTTCTATTTTCTCCACTCAATTTAAAATCACGGATTATTCTCAATTCCCATCGCACCAGAAGATGATAGTAATAACTGAGGCAAATAATACAAAAAAGTCTAAACATAGCTCCAGACTAACGTTCCATATGATACGAGTTGTAAGTCAATTGATGCACCAAAACTAATCACAGATAGCGGATCTAGTTATTTAACTTTTTGACAATGTTGACGGAAGAAATCATGAAGAGAAAAGTTCTAGTTACAATAAAATAATGTTATGAGGTTTTATTCCAGTGACATCTGAATGCACACATTTTTATTGGAGTATTCTATCTTGAATAATGTAGAGGCCTTCCTCTGGGCATAAAAATTGCATGGTTGGTCTATTTTTCTGTGTTTTTGTATATTGTGCTCCAATGGTCTAATGAGTTCAATATAATTTAATTATTTACACCAAAAGTCTATTATAATGAATAACCATCTGAGAATAGGGTTTTACATTTTCTATTATCCAAACATTAAAAAAGAAAAAAAAAAAAAAGAAAAAAGAAAAAAAAAGGGGGTAAAACAAGTCATGAACTCTGTCTAAATCAGATAGAAGTTTAAGAGGAGCTTTGCAGATAACTAAAACCTCCAATACTATTTTGATCACAGCCATATGAATCGTGTCCGGTGAAATAACTTCTTTAATCTATAAATCAAACAGATACAGACCAAACAGAGCATCAAAACTGTGTTTTATATGTAAAAGGAACTGGCCTGAGAATGAGGCCACAAGGTCTCTAGCCTCTAGACTCCAATCGTATCCGCGGATAGCCTCATGCACGCCAGCATAGTCCCTCATCCACAACCGCTGACCTAGATTCCATGCTGCCACCACTTCTGGCCGGCCCTCCTTGATGGCCGAAGGTATCGACTTCCACAGAAATCGAGCACTATTACTGCAATATATATATATCATCAACTTGCGGAATAACAAGAACTCCAAAACCCTAAACATATATATACATATATATGTGCATATACAGAGGACAGTTAGCTTACATGTCATCGACGTAAAGCTGCCCTAGAAGATGAACCGCGTAAGGCCATTCGTCTTGAAAGGCAATGCCCTCGGTTGCAGCCTAGAGAAAGAGTGATGAGTGTGAAACTAATTAGGGCTTGAAATTGAGAGAAAGAGAGAAACTAATAGAGTGTATTGAAAAAGAGATATGAAAGCAATAAACTAATTAGGGTTTACCTGAAGCATGAGATCGTCGCAGATGTCAGCGATCTTCTCGTACGATTGGGACGACATTGCGTCTGTAAGGAGAGAGAAATCCATTGCTTCTTCTTTTTCTTCTTCTTCGCCGGTGGTTGTGATGTTACTCGATTCTTTAGCTGGTTCGTATATTGCCTATTGGATCCCTAGTGCGGGTGTAAATGGGTCGGGTCAAACCCATTTGCACGTGACCGAATTGCATAGGCTTTTGGTGTTTCAAATTCTTTCTATTGTTTGTTTGGTAGAAAAAGTAATGTAGGAAAGGAAATAAGGGAGGAAAAGGAGGAAGAGGGTATGAGTAGTTTTGTGCTCCCACATAACAAATTTGAAAGAAATTTGATTGATCGCTTCTAAAATTTTCCTCTGAAACTAGATTAAGAAATGACCCAATTTAAAAGCACATTCTATTTTGTTCTTTGAAATTATGTTGGTGCTCTATAAGCACTACATACTTGAATCAACTCAATTTGTATGATTGAGAATTTGATATAAATTTAAACACGAAATGAAATATTACATAAGATGCTTCACAATTTCAACAAGCATGGAAGCAATCGCATGTTAGCGCATTCATTAATCATGCTCATTAGCGCTCTACTTTTCAATCAAGGAGAGCTTGAAAAAATTTCAGTGTTAGTTGTTGGCATTTTCATTTTTAGCTGTCCATTAATTATAGGGCATTGGGGCTCCCTCTCCTTCATTTGAGCATTGTACAATTGTTGAATATATTGTAATATATATATATATATACACTCGTTATATATATCAGATACAGAAATAGCGGGAATAATTACCATGCATACTTATAGAATGTGCGTGTTAAATTTTGATTTGAATAGTTGTGTGAGTTATGTGTGCGAAAGTTGTTAGTTGATCAATTGTGATTAACACACTAAATGACCTAGATGATGTGATTAGGTCAACTTTGCCCAACTATTGTGATTGATTAATTTACCCACAAGTATTATCAATTAAACATTCACAACCACAAAACTAAATACTGAAAAGTAAAGCAAGGTTAGAGAAATGACATCAAGATTTTAGCAAGGAAACGGATTAGAAAACCTTGAAGATTTTTGTGTTATCTCGAATATAAATGATTCACTATGTATGAAGCAAAGTATACCGAACTTTAACTCAAGCTCATATCCCTTCACTCTACCAAGACTTAATCCGCTTAACACCTCTGGCTTTGTGACTTCCAGTCCAACAACTCTTGACTCAGACTTTTGCCTCGAACCTTATAGAATGATTGCTCGTAGATTAACAACACTTCGCAAGTGCCTTGATCTCTTCAAAGTGTGATCGAAAATTCTTCTTATTCGAATCTGAATTTGTTGCAGAAGATATAAATCACACTTCACGGAATTTATAAATCTTCAATTATGCTCCATTTCCGATGAGATTGAGAACAACACTTCTAAATCACTCTTGTATATATGTGTGTGCTCTTAAAAATGAATATATATAAAAAAAAAAAATTGATTTGATTTTCTAAAAAAGACTCTCTCAAAATAATTAATTTTTGTTCTAAAATGCCATCCCTCAATTTTGAGTAAAAGAGAGATTATATAGAAGTTTGGAAGACCTAAAAATACTTGGAAACCAAATTAATTTTGTGCATACACAATATAGAGGAAATCTACCAAAAATAGGAATCAAAACAAACCAACTTGAACCGGTTCAAGTTGGACAGTGAGTTTTCGAAAAAAATACATTTGACATTTGAACCAGTTTAGGGTGCTTGGACCGGTTCAAGTTGGTTAGACTTGAAAAACACCAATAAATCTCAAAAGTTGAACTTGTTTCAAAAGACCTAAACCAGTTCAAGTTGGGCAAAATGTAAAGTCTTCCCAAAAGCTTAATTTTAAACCTCTCAAGTGTACTTACACACTCTTTTACCTTTTTAAAGCATTGTTCTCATCATCCCGGAGTGTATCGAAGTATGAACACTTGAACTCCTTCAAATCCGCTTCCGATCTTAAATCTTAAAATTTTGAATTGAAATTTTACAATTTATCGGATTTGCTTTGACAACGAAATTCGCCAATTACAAAATATATATCTCACAAATTACAACTATTCAGATGGTAATAACTACCATACTTCTAAAACGTGTCCATTGAATTTTAATATGAATAGGTTGCAACCATTCAGATGATATGTAACTTTTGGTTGGCAGATTTTGGAAGTACGTCTATAATTAGCGACAGGGTGTTGCACATTCTTTCATTCACTTCTTATCTTCTCTTTCTTTAGTCATGACAATTTCAACGAGTATTTAAGGAATTTCTTCAATATTCCTAACTGCAGGAATTTAGATTTTGTTATATCTTAGGAGTGCTTTGCTACAAATTCGTTAGCAAACTCAATTTTTGTGGGAGCAAACAACACTTTAGGAAATTGAATCCACGCTTCAAAGTTTGCATTTTGGTTGGGCTATCAAGTTCAAAAAATTGACATTAGTATTTCATTATCTTCACGTTTAAGAAGTCTGATGATCTCCAACGTGCACAACATAGGTTTTTGGGTTATTTTTTAAAACAACAAATGATTAATCTCATAGTATGTAAATTTGCAAGGAGATTGAGTTAAACAGATGACACGCGAGTGCTAAGAATGACTTTACATGACGCCGATCTCCATTGCATGAGTAAAGTTGAATTACAAATTTTAGTTTTTTGTAAAGGATTGTAGAGAGGAATATAAGATTCTAGAACAATATAGAGTTTGTAATAGTTAGAAGAGTGAAAAATATCATAGAAAGTTGAGAGCTTTGTAGAGTTTATAAATGGGATACTTAGATTAGAGAGTTCTAGAGAGAATATTTTAATGTATACTAACGGTTTATTAAAGGAAAGAATGCGCGCCTATATATAAGGTGAGAGTTTTAATTGTAACATAAGCAGTGAGAAGGACAAGAGTAACTGTAACAATTCAAATAATAGAAGTGTTTTTTCTCTTTTGCCTTGCAAGTGTAATAGTGTGAATCTGAAGACTGGTTGACACGATGTCCACAATTTTCATATAAGTGAAGGACTTGGAAGCAATGGATTAATATTTAAAATTATTTTTCTCTCCAAAATATAACTCCACATAGAGAGCCGCTTTGCTCTGAAAATTCCATTTGAAATTAAATTAGTAAATACATTTATAGTGCATTTAATAAAGTGACAGTTGCCCTTATTTTTCTTGATTGTCAACTTAGAAAGTATCTTTCAACCAATATCCTTAGGTGTTTCATTTTCTTTCCTACTTAAATTCAAATTACAAAAAAGAACCCTATACAATAGAATACTTCATTCTTATATTTTTTTATTTCATATTTGTCCTTGTATAATTTTGGACTCTTACATTTCAATTCATTAAATTTGTATCTCCCAGTCTCTCCATCGATTGCATGAAATCAACGATAATAACAGTAAAAAAAAAATTATCAATTTCCTCCTCCATCATCGCCGGTCTCTCAGTGTCCTTCGTCAAAGCCATTAGCAATTTCACTACATAACCTACTTATGCACCCATAATAATAAAAAGACAAAGAAAGAGAAGCAAAAGAGAAACAAAGTAATTTCAAAAGTTGGTGAAGAGTGATTGCTCCAACTGAAATATATGACCCTTATAGTTATACATACTTGGTTGGTGGCCGTTTGTGATCATGATCTGAAGTTGTTTGTTATAATGTTAGACTAATTCTGTTTTCAAAATAAATAATTTATCGAGTTGTCAATCCAACTATTTGTTACGTAATATTATTCATTTTGTGAATAATGTATTCGTAAGCAAGCATTTGTAAATTTTTCAAGGGATTTTTTTATTTATATAATTCATGTTTTTTTTTAACTCTAATATTTCTTTTATATTTGTTACAAATTCTACAACTGTTCTTGTTGGAATAAAATAAAATGCATTAGTTCTCCTCCATGTACAAAACCAGCCATTACCAATTCCAAGATGCTTAAAAAAATAAAAAATGGAGTCCGTCAAAAATGGAGACCTAGAGAGAACGTGAGAGAGGAGTTGGTGGAATTCAATAGTCCTGGTTTAAACATATAAGGGTAAATACGGAATTAAAATTATAAGAAACAAGTATTTTGTACTATATTAATTCTATTATAATTTACTTTCAAAAGAAAAAGAGGTTGGAATGTCTAAGAATATTGGTGAATTTTCTGCCGTTTAATTACCCATTCAAGTCGGGACAAACACTAAATGCATGTTTTTCAAGGAACATCTAACTTTTAAAAATGAGTAAAAGTGCAAAAACACCTTTCCATATATAAAATGTCAAGAAACATTCCTAATATCTAAGTATATATGCATATAAATTTTTATAATTTAAAAAAATTATCCCCTAATCATCAATTTTGATCAATTCTTTTTTTAATTTTATATATAAACAAAAAATACCGTTAATAGAATTTGTGCTATAAGTTTTTTTTATTTTGTTTAGAGCATTTTAAGTTTTTATTTTTTATTTTGGATAAGTAAGAACATTTTAAGTATTTAAATTTCCGAATTGAGAAAATCTCTATATTTACTCAATTTGAAAAATGTAGGGAGATTTTTTTAATAACAGGGAGTAGTATTAAAATTAATGAAAAATAGGAGAGAAAAAAGTACCCAGAGTTGCCAGGAACAGCGCATCAACCAATAAATATATAAAACACCAACAGTTTCAAATCTAGACCATACCATAATAAGTCAACAAATGAGCAAGAAATCCAAAAACAACAGCAAAAAACTCACTTAGCTTTATTCTCTTTCACAGAAACGTGCAAATACAACATATTGGAGGACTAGTAAACATAAGTTCATCCTTGAAAGGAAAACTCACAATAATATATGACATTCACTTATCAAGAAAAAAATAAATAAATAAAAAATAAATAAATAAATAAATAAATAGGCCTTCTAAAAATCCCATTCTAAATAATTATTCAATCACCCGGCAAAATTATGTTAAGGAACAAATGGACAGATTAATTATTCAATCCATGCCAACTAATAATTCAAATTCTAGTTATGACTTTATAGGAATGTCGGTTTTATTTATTTACATCTGAAAAATATAAAAAACACGGTAATGTTCTCTCAAGAAGAAAATGGTTACATAATTCCACCTCAAAGAATAG